CCGATAGCTTCTACAACAAGGCAGCGATCATCGTTTTTATTTTTTATTTTTAGACTATATACATCAAATTCTTGCGAGTTACCGCGCTGATTTCCAAACGAATAAATTGTTAGAAATTCTTTTCTAATGACTTGCAATTCTAAATCGCGCGCTAACTTGTGGGTGATGAAGTTTCGTTCACTACCTGAATCAATTAATAATCTTACGATTCTCGATTTATTTTTGCTTTGAGCAATAACAGAACATGTCTGTAAAAGCACACTATTTTCAGGTTTTAGAGTGTTACAGTGGGAAGTAGATACTAAAGTTTTATTTTGCGTATCTGCGGATTTAACATCTTCCATTTCTTTCGATTTCAAACGGCAGAAAAGTTTATTATGATTTTTTCTCGTTACACAATTTTCGCATGGTTGTATTTTTGATTGCAATCCGACAAAACGCCTGCAAATGTGATCTCAGAAAGCATCTGTAACAGCGACCTTCTTGTTTTAATTTGTTTCGTTTTTGTTCGTCGGAAAATTTCAAACATCCGGCAGATGTATGTTCGTTTGATTTGCAGAATATGCAAAACATCTTTACCGATGTGTTAAAAGCAGAAGCTTGTGATTTGACATTTGACTTTATAATTTTTTAACCCTTCTTTAGGATTAACCCCTGTGTATTTATTACCTTTTGAGCTATTAATCAAAATACTTGCTTCTCGGCATTCAGTTTCTATTTTAATGAACTCTATTAATTCACTTACTTCTATATTTTGGTTAGATGTTCTAGATTCTTTTCTATGGAATTCAAGAGCTAAATCTTCAGGTAACAATTTAAGAATTATTGGGTTCAATAACTGTCCGTATGAACCGCTAGTAACAACATCTAAACTACTTAAATTTCTAACGCAGATTTGTAACTGATCATAGAGCTTTCTTAACCCAAAAACATTTGAAGAACTTTTAACTGGTTCTAACTGTAACAACATCATGAATTTTGATATAATAACATCTTTACGACCAAACCTCTCTTCTAAACTTTTAATACATAGATCATAATTTTCTTCAGATAAAGCATAACCAGAAACACAATTATATGCTGAACCAGATAATAAACTTTTCAAATATGTAAACTTATCTATTTTAGATAAACTTGGATTAGAATGAATAGCATTATCATACGAATTAAAAGAATTCGAGCCATTTACTGGGATCACCAGCAAATTTTTCAATATTTAATTTAGGTAACTTTACTGAAGCACTACTTGTAACAACATTATTACCATTCAGAGTACTACTAATACCATTACTAGTTGTAATTATACTTCTTTCAACAACTTCATTACTGTTAATTTTCTTTACTTTACTAACAATCTTAGCTTTAAACGTTATAATTTTTTCATCATACTCTTCACATACAAGTAGTTCGTTATCATATTCTTTTTCATCAATTATGAGAGCATCGATCTTTGAGTCAAGAGTTTTAAGTTTCTCATGGTATTCAATTAACAATTCATATGATGAATTTAGATCTTCTACATGTTCTTTACTTAACTCTTTCGATAATAATTTCTCAAGTTTATTTAGAAGTGTAGTAACTTTACTACGTACAATAGCACGTTTCTTTTTCTCTTTTGCTAAATCATCCATTATGTTTCGTTTTCAAAGATCAATACCAAGGACAAATGAATCAAATTTCTTACCTTTCAAAAGGTAATTCCCCTTGTCCCGGGTTTCGGCACCAGAAAAATGTATGGTATCTCTTTTCATGAGTCGTGAATTCAAAGATCGTTTCGTATCAGGAGTCAAGGTTGGGAGAGCATTAGAATTTCAAAGCAAAACTTCAAGATTTCTTAGAACATAGAAATAACATTTATTAAAGATAAACTTATATTACTTATATTACTTCCGCCTATAGCGGCCATGAAACATAATCAAGCATCAAATAAATATGACATGCGTCATTGTTCATGTTCAAGCGTCAAGTGATATATTTTTCATCGGCGCGCATCAAGAGCGCCACCTATCTACCAAAAAGATGGAACATCCTATTACACTAATTCCATCAACAAGGCGTTTAGCTTCACCATCTAAATAACCTCTGAGGAAAACATGTTTATCAATAACAGAAAGATGTGGATTGGCATCTATAGAAGATTTAAACTGTTCCCAAAAACATTGCCACTGTTCAATTTCTCCTGTAAATGACTGTAGTTTAATTGTTGGCAATTTAACTGTATATGGTTGAGTCATAGGCACTGTAGTAGGAGGGTCGCCAATTGTCATCGCTAAATCATTGGTATCCATATTCGAAGCAGTAACATTATTTGGAGTTGGTGATAATTTATTTTGAATAATTTTTCGTGCTTTGAAAATTGCGGATTCACCAGTATCTATGTAGTTTTCACACTGCAAATTATCACTTTCATATTCATCGTCAGAAAGGAAGTTGGGAATTTTGTTATCTATTAGTTTCATATCATTTACAGCAGTTGTTAAGCGATTACAAATATATTGAACTTTCTCAATTGAGAAATCATCGTTCAAAGTATCAATTTCAGTAGAAAAGCGAGAAACATTACTTCTCATGGCTGTCCGCTTTCGTTTCAGTTGCAGTTTGTATACAGCTTCACCGGTCGGCGCCATTGCCCGAGTAGTAGAAAAGAACAAAAACAAAACTAAGTTTTGATGTCGGAAGTAAAATATTTCAGCAAGAATAATCCAACAGTAGGAAGTATAAGTTCAAGGTCTTGTTTCGTAAATGGTTTTTTCGGCACCAATATTAGGAGATAGTATTTTATACTTATTTACTTCCTAACATAAACATGAAGTATAGAACAAGCAAAAGAACATTTATAAATACAAAAACATAAGTGATGCCATTCACAAAAAGGGTAATGTTATTTTTAATAGTTCGCTGGCTTTGCCACAACACTAGGTATTTTGAAGATAGAAATGCAAAAATTCTACAGTATCCTCAATGGGATTCAAACCACAGATCTTCCACTTTCCAGCTGAATGTGCTAACCATTTACACCATAACAACATGGATGGGGGTTTGCAATAATTCCTTACATGCTTCTCTATAAAAGGCAACGGAACTTAATTGACCAGTTCTAGATTATGAGGAATTATCATTCACCACATTTTAGTTCAGGTGCGTGCCACAGTAAAGATCATTATGTAATCTGAAGGGAGAAACATGAAAATTCAATAACACTCTCATCAGGATTCAGAAAACAAATCTTCCAGTACACAGTCAGATATACTAGCTGCTAAACTATGAGCATACAGTTGGGGGAATACTGTGATTCCTTGTAATTACATATGGAATGCCCATGATAATTATCCCACATTAACAGCATTTAAAAAATTAATCTTTTTTAATGTACTGCTTTTTTAACATAAAAAGGACAGGAAAAAAAAAAAAAAAAAGGATAAATAACATCTTAGAAATTAACCCTGCTTAAATGTATTAAATAATAAACATTTAAAACATCATTTATTAGTCTCAATATCTACTTATACTAGAAAACACACATTTACAGTGCAAGTCTCATATTACACACATGCTTGCACTATATTATAATTAACAGATATTTCAGTGTTACATTTTACTATTCATATATATAATATCTACACATTATATGTTTTAATATGCCCACCTGCTAAAAATAAACAGAAAGGAAAATTTCAACAATACAATTATTTTTCTTCATCATGTAATAATACAAATAAATTTATTACCTTTTATTTAAGTTATATCAAAGATTTTCATCAAAATGTTTTTGTTTAATGACTTGAAATAAAGAAATGGTATTTTTAAGTGCAAAACTCTCTCTCCAGATGTCATAGGCCTTACAATAAAACAGCGATTCTCAACCATTGTATTGAAGCATTTTATAAATGCAGACAATAAAAATTATTTTGTACATACTTATATATAGTATGTCTGTTCTCATATAATACGAATATTTTTTTAAATGTGCATGTATGAAATGTGCATGTACACCCATAAGACACTGTAAATACTCATACATAAGCAACATCAGACACGTGGTTCACTCAGTTCTAATTTCCAAAGCAAGGACTGGATGAACCAGTCCAATGCAAAACATTTAGAAGAATAAATAGATTTATTTTGGTTTAATCTTAGATACAATAACTCAACAATATCACAAAAAGCTTTAAGTGTGTTATTACAATTTTTCATATCTTAGTTGCATGAATTCGGATTTTTGGCTTTGACTGACATAAAAGTGAAAAAAGTTCAGACTTATAAATTTGGATCACGAAATGAGAGTAGCATTTTTTATGCCCAAACATAAATGAAGCTATCAAAACACACCAATCTCAAATTTCCCATTAAATGTAATTTTTCATAACAGTGTGCTCTCGGTTATCGGGGCTAATGCTGAAGAAGCAAGTCAAGGATAACTGAAAAACATGGATAATCCAAGTATCAATTTTCATGCATATCGTAGGCATCTTAAAAAAAAAAAAAAAAAAAAAAAAAAAAGAAAGAAAGAAAAAAGAGAGAGAGAGAGAAGAGAGCAATTGTTTGTTTTTGAGAACGCTTAAATATCTATTGGATTTCACTGCATATTTTTCAAAACACTATTATATTTTATTCAAATTCCCTTCTGTCGACAAGCGTTTCAATAGAAGTCACTGCTGTCTCTGAACTCACGTAACGAATTTCAGGATCTTTTTCACTTGCACTTTCAGTATCACACTCTGCCTCTTCTGTTTTTGTGACATTTAAAACGATATCCGCATCACTGAAGCTCTGAAAGTCTGGCTCTGTCAAGCAGCTATCGAACGATTCCTTGATTTTTGCAACTGATATTTTTGAAGAATTTAACATTTTAAATTTTGGGGCATGCAAAATCTTTTTAAACATTTTTTTTTAAATATGTTATAGTAATAACTTCAATTATAACCTCAACGTCTTCACAGCTAAATAAATCTATGATTCCTAAATTAAAATAAATCTTTCTCCATGCTCAAATTTGTGCATGTGTGTTTTTTACACACTCTCGTGCATAGCCCTGATTGCACATGGATAATCAGCACCCAGACAATAGACAGCCCTAATGTATATAAATATTTTGTTTACTTTATTATGCAATTTTATTTCATTTTTCATGCAAAACTATTATCATATGCTATTTTTACAAAATATGCTATAGATACATCAATCAATCAAGTAAAATTCTTCTAAATTTATCTTATTTTAAACATGCTATGATGTTTTTTAAATGATTAAAAGTGTACCCCCCCAAAAAAGTTCAGAATCACTGCGATAAGCTCTACTGCTATTTTAATATATCAATATATCATTCATAAAAATCAACAGGTTTCAGCTTTGTCAAGCTATATGTTAAACAATAAATATAACATCAGATTTTTAGAAAAGTTTCAAGTCAGTAATTTTACAGTATATTTGATTATTCATGTGAGAAGCAATAGATTAAGTCTGATTTCTTTTTTTCAATTTAATTACCAATTCTTTCTTTCTTTTCTTTTTCTTTCTTTCTTTCTTTCTTTTTTTTTTTTTTTTTTTTTTCAATTTGATTACCAACGACTGGACAAGGACTAAATTTTAAAATTTAGTAACCTTAAATGAAAACCAATAAAGTGCAACCAAAGGTACAATATCTAGTAGGCTAACCACCACTTGGAGGAATTTCATATAAAATTTTGACATTAAAAGTGTTTTTACTGATAAGTAAAAATACATTCAAGTAATTGAAAATTTGGAAGTAGACACTGATTGAGAAACTTTCAGTGAAATTAAGTAAGAACCTTTTTGCTTCATAGTTGGTTTTTAATATTTACAAAGCAACAAAATCTTTTAACAACATTACAAGTGTTATACAGAAATTTATATTTATTCTTTTAAAATTTCTCATTACTTTCTTTTAAAATAGATATTATTTTGAATCACACGCTTATTTTCTAAAGTTTCTTAAGTAAAAGCACAAATCCAACATAAATGCTATTGAAGGTGTAACAAATGAGTTTATTACACTTTTAATAATTACACAGATAATTATGAACTATACTCACCTAGCATTGCACTTTCTACTGTTGGTGAGTATTTTGCAATAACAGCAGTTGCTTTCCTTACAAACCTTAAAAAGAAGTTACATGCAGATTTTACACAGTGAAAATTTTAGATACAAAGGAAATAAATAATATTAAATGTTGATAAGTATTACAATTTTAATAATCTAACAACGGCAATATTTGTATTAATTTTTCATGAATGCTTGTCTTTAGATTATATATTAATGGATATACAAACTTTTCATGGAAGTTTGATAACATTTCAATTATTGTCACAGGTGACTTTAATGCCGAGCTCTGGGGCTCTTCTACCACAAACCCCAGAGGGATTCAAGTATGAGATTTTGCAGCTGCAGTGACCCCCAGCAGTCCAGCCACATGCACAGACAATCGAGGCAAATTATGGAAAGATCTCACCATGATAAAAATCCATGGTGGTTTATGTCTTAATAACTGGAAGGTGGAACATAATATTAGACTATGTGACAACCGGTTTATTACAATCAAAACAGATAATGCCTTAATTATGCAAAATAATAAACATTGAATGAAATTGTGTCAGAATCATTATATATCTCTGAGAGAAATTATGTTTATTAACTTTTAATATATTGAAGATTTAAATACAGAAAATCAAATAGACAAATTAAATATACAGATTACAGAGGAGCTACGTAATCTTTATAATTATACAAAAATTATATCTACAATTTCCAAGATCTTTCCTAAGTTCTACCCTTGGTGGACTAAAGAATTAACCATTCAAAGGAAAAAGGCAAGGATGCTGAGACAGAGATATCAGAGTGATACTTGGAATGAGAAATAGACAATGCATCATTTACAGAAAAGAAGAAGCATTTTATAAGATCAATATTCATAAAGCCAAAATTAATTTTTGGAAAAACCTTTCTCCAAAGTTGCCATATGGCACTCACTATAAACTTGGAGAAAAGGAAAAGCATATCTCCTTTGAAACTTTATTAAATAAAGAAACAAGCTAATTCATTTACAATAAATGTCCAAGAAACACTGGAATACATTATTTCCTACCACTTTCCACAAGATCACACCGTGGCAGATACTAGAGGAAAAATGCTTCAAAAAGGGAAAAAGCTGAGTCTACTATTAGCAGAAGTCAAAATGATGTCTACTTTATACATAATGAGATTAAAGATATCTTTAAAATGGCAAATAAAGGGACAGTACCAAATATCGATGGAATTATTTTAAAATTAGTTGAAAAAGTTTATCTGGCAAACAGCGAACTTTTCTTACATATCATTTATTCTTGCCTTAAATTCCAGAGTCACAGGAAGTCACTAATTTAGTGTTGCTTCTCAGAAAAGGAAAAAATTTATCAGATCCTAGAGCCTATCGACTGATCTACTTTTGTCTAAAACCTTATCTATCTAGTGGAAGGTTTTAGACAAACTGTTAGCACAAAGACTCATATACTTTCTCTTGAATAATAAACTATTACATCACCAATTTGGATCTGAACCAAATAAAGGAATAGTGGATGCCCTGGACAATCTAAAAACCAACATCAAAAACATTTATACTCAAAATAGGCACACTTGTATAACTTCTCTTGATGTGATGTCTGCCTTTAATAATCTTTGACGAGCAGGTCTACTCCCCACACTCCAAGATCTTGATTGCCATGCAAATCTCTACAATTTATTGAAGAATCACCTTCACAATAGAAACATAATCTATAAAAGAGATAGTGTCAGTGTCTTCAAAAATTATTACGAAGGTGCTCCTCATGGATCTAATTTAGATCCAATTTTGTGGAATATTGTGGCTAATACTGCATTAAAGTTAGACTTAACAAATGAAGTCATTCAAGCATAGGCTGTTGATTTCTATGTCACTGTTGACAGTAGAAACTGAACAGATTTAGAAAGAAAGACACAGAAAGCATTACAAATTACAGAAAAATGGAGTGATAAAATATAAACTTAGTTTTAATAGCCCTTAAATGAAAATGATATAGCATTTTTAAGGAAAAATCATCCAGGGTTATGATGGAAGAATGTCCGCATTCAAAATAATGATCATTAAAATATCTAGGATTCTTTCTTGATTAAAAAATTAACTTGGATTTCACACGTCTTGGAAATGAGAGATTGAACACATGCAATTGTAAATTATTTAAATTATTTTATGATACATAACTGGGAACTCATAAAATATGGAATGAATCGTATTTAAGAGCAATTGAAAGATGATTACATGGGTACCCTGTATGGTGGCATTAGAGCAGCATAATAAGAGCAACAAATAAGTTTCCACAAATTTAACAAATAGTGCTAAAATAATGTACTACAAGCTCTTCAAGTTCTAGTTGGTGCAATTATACTAGATATTAAAGCAGAAGAGGAGTGTCTTGAAAGTGAAAGAGTTAATCTGATCTTTCACTTTCAAGAGGACCTCATTGTAAATGAATTCAATATACAGTATCCGGACACGTCGGGACATCGGCGATTCCGGGTTATAGATCATCAATTTAAATCTGGTAAGATGGCATGCAGAAATTATACAATTAAAATATGAAACCGTAATTTATGAAATAAAGAACAATCATGATCTAAAGGGCATCAAAATTTACAAAAAAAAAAAAAAAAAAAAAAAAAAAAAACCCCGCTTAATATTTATTTGTTTACTTTAAAACATTTCTTTCAATGTAAATTGTTTAAGTTGCTTCATTTTTTGTGCTAATACTTTCTCTTTAATTCTATAAAAAAGACATCGTTTCTTGTTCAAAGTTACAAAATTCCACTGTTCAAGTCCTGTAATTGCTGTGTCGAGAATACCGACTAACTTGTTAATCGAAATTTTTTCATTTTCAATAATCTCTCTGTTACTTTCTTCACTATCGGTAGCAGTATTTTCTGGATCTAGAACTATACTACAGATTTCGTTGTCCATTAATTGATTGATGACTAGGGCATTGTTTTCACTATGAAAAACTTCTGTTACATCATTTTCATTTATTACCACTTCTCCACATTTCTTTACAAAATCCAATAACTGGAAAATTTCACCTTTAGTTTGCGATATCCGAAACCCTTTAAATTCGTGACCATCATCTTTATCGTCCTCACCATGAAATATGGTAGCAAGCCATAAAATATGCCAAGCATTTTTTAACGTATCTAGAGACACATCCTCCTATGATCTTGCGATGCTCCACACATCATATTTTATGCTAAAATATTTTAAAAATTCTTGAATAGTCTTGTCATTGTTCAAGAAATTCAACATAAATTTTTAAAATGCTACTTTATATTTGCATTTCAGCTCGCGCAGTATTCCGATATCTATAGGCTAAATGATAGGTGTACAATTTGGAGGGAAGAATAATACAGATACATTATCTTTCACTAAAACTTTAAGTTAAGTATGAGCTGAACAGTTGTCTATAATCAGAACTATTTTTGAGTCATCAGGTAAACCAACTGAATTCAAATGTTGCTGAGCCTCGGGTATAAAATGATTTTCTAACCAATCATTCATCAACGCTTGTGTCATGCTCTTTTACCTGCGCAATATATAACGGGGAAAATCATTACTCCTTTAGATGCTCGAGATCATGCAGGTTTTCCGATTACAAAAAGTTTGCACTTGTGCGTTCCTGCAGCATTTGCGCATGCTAAAATTGTTAGTCTCACTTTGTAATCTTTGACACCAGTTGGAGCATTTTCTGTAGAGGTTGCCAAGGTATTTCGCAGTACATATTGCCAGAAAAGATCAGTTTCATCCGCGTTGTAAATTTGTTCTGGGCATAATTGTTCACTAGTAATGAGTTCAATGAATTCATCTGCAAATTGTTCAGCAGCACAGAAATCAGAGACTACAATTCTTTCCAAACTTATTACCTCACTGGTCATGGCTCATAACTTGATTATTTTCTTTAAAAAAAAACTCGCTAATACCGACAATTGTGTCTGTGGTGTCAAAGGAGATGCAGACCACTACATATTCTTCTGTCCTTTTACAAGTGACCCACACATTTGGAACCCTCTTAATCTAGACTTTCACTTCAAAAGACTGGTGATATCTCAAAGCCACCTATATCTAAAAAACATAAAAGTACACCAAAAGCTCAGTGCTCTAGGACTAGACATATGCCAAGTCACATTTTAGAATCAAAAGCAAAAAAGGGAAAACAGCAATAACTAGGCTACACCCCAATAATTGATTCCAAGCAACATTAACAATTTCCATAATGCTTCAAAACACCAAACATACTGAGATGAGCTCATGAAATTTATTTATGAACTTCTGACTAAAAGATCTGAGTTCAGTACAGTCTCATCTATCATCAACTGCTACCACCAACGCATGCAAGTTGGCAGAGATTCTACCAAAGTTGTGTCAATTATTCCTGGAGTATTCTGAAGAATCTTTATATAATAAACAATCAGAATTTGACTTGCTTTGTTTTTGCACTTTGTAAAAAAGCTTTTGTTGATTTTTATTTTGATAGCCCCATCAATTTTACTGAAAGCTCTGATTAGAACACTATGAGAACAAACTTCTCACTGGTAATTGTTATAATCTGTTACTGTTTTGCCAACCATATTCAGCTGACCGTATACACCTTTCTGATGATAAGATCCCATAACTTTGAAAATAATCCACTATTTGCTGTTCTAAAGCAGGTAGCAAATTTTAATATTTTTTTTTTAAATTTAAGCATAAATACAGCAAAAATTTAATTTATATCCTTGTTCATAAAAGCAAAAAGTAGCTTATCCAAAATCAGTGAGGGTTATTAAACAAAAGTTCAGATGTTATGACAGTGTTGTCACATCATGCTTATCCATAACTGCAACTAAACCGTGCTACTTGGCAAAAGTTTCATAGTTGATGGGATTATATGTATGTACTCTTTAATCTCTTCTTTCCATAAAACTGTATAATAAATTATTTTTCTTTTTTGAATTCATTAATTGTCATATCCATTTTAAATAAAAGCTTATTTTTAATCTAGCTTTTCTAGCTAATATTTTTTTTTTAAATTGCATTTTATTTTATTTCATTGTCAACTTTAGACCTATTAGAGGTCTAAAGTTGACATATCATAAGGCCATAAGGATAAAAAATCATAAGGTATTTTCTGCCTCCTTCTAGCAAGCCTTCGTGGTGTAATGGTAGAACACTTAGTGCAAATTCCTTTCCATACAGTTTTAATTTCTTTTCATTTTTCTGCTTTTGAGAAAACAGAATTTAAAAAAATAGTACTGGTTTAGGCCACTAGAGGTTCAGTTTCGAGTCCTGGCGAGAGCATTGTACATTTTTCACATCTCCTGCTTTAAAAAAAAAGTGTTCTAATGAGTCTATGGCAGTGCTCCGCAACAGGTGTGCCGCGGCACACTGGCGTGCCATGAGTAGGATATAGGTGTGCCGCAATCAAATACATGTATTTGACATTTTGCAATTTTTTATCATGTATTTAATACACAATGACAATTTTTTTTCCTTAATAATGTCTATTTTAAATGTTTTTATATATTTCACTGTTGTGTGGTTGTGTGTGTGATTGTAAGTGTGTCAGCATTTGAATTTTTTGGGCACTTCCTTGATGACTCGGAACTCTTTGGTGTGCCACGAAATTCCAGAAAGATTATTTGTGTGTCGCAGGTGAGACAAGGTTGCGGAGCACTGCTCTATGGCTCTGTGGCACCCAAACTAAAGAGTGGTGGACAATAATTCATCACCACCAGGATTTGGCAATAGGATCCTCTAATCTACAGTTGTCTTTTAAAAAAGGGAGAGTATATAATGTATTTTTTCCCACCCTCCAGCATGGCTATATGGTGTAATGGTAACACACTTGCCATGTATTCAAGAGCTCCAGGTTCGAGTTCCAGAGAGGACATTGCATATTTTTCACATCTCCTGCTTCAAAAAATCTAATGCTTCTACAGAAATAATAATTTGTTTGATATGATTTCGAATATGATTACCACACAATATCCATAGGACATTAAAAAAACTTGTTAATCAATCAACTAATGTAAGAAATATATTTTATGATCACAAGATGGCAACAGCTTGTTAGCAGTGAATCAACAAGCGCCAATTAGAACTGACGGACCAAAAAAGTGATAAATTTTATAAAAACCTTAATTATGTTGGTTGACATATCATAATGCCATAAGGATAAAAAATCACAATAGATAAAATAATAGATAAATTTAGATAAAATAACAATGAAAAAAGTTAGAAAAATTCCCTCTTCGATTGAATTTCTTTCAACTACATAATCATTTTTAATGATGTAAAAAATATCTAAAAAATAGTGCAGACTAAAAATTAACTCATATTTTTATCAGCAGTTTTAAGTAATAGTTGAAAATTTAAATTTAATTTAAATACATATATATATATATAACTTACATTTGCTGGATACTTTTCGGAGGTCTACGAGGAGTAGATTCTTTTGCTATGCTACGGCGACTACCCTACAAATCATTAAGAACATGCATAACAAATCTTTATCATTGAAATCAGTTCAGAATATTTAACATTCATTGAAACTGAGCTAATATTTCTGAACACATTCAGATATATTTTATGTATTTTAAACCTAAATTTTAATAATCTTAACTTAACCTTATCATTCAGCATAATATTAAGTTAGGTTAGTTGACTAAAGAAAAGCACACTTGAGGGTTATCTGCCTATGGAGAGAGATGCCTATCAGGACTTTTTAAGGTAATTTAATGTGTCTCCTAATTTCTCCTAATCAGAAAATTATCAGCTTTGTCTCTATCACATTTATTTACAGATTATTTTTTACCTTATATCATTTTCAAATGAATGTTAATTAAATTAACATTTAAATTAATGTTTCTTCTCTACTATATCAATTGCAAATGGAACATATACGGATTTCCTATACAGTAACAAGAATTATTGTTTTAATCTTACAAAATCTTACCAAATATACAATAATCTTTATTAAAATACAACTACCATACAATTACCCAGAAATGTTCATCAGCTGGTAATTAATAGTGGTTAACTTCAGTATTCCAATTTATAAGAATTTATTCAAGCAAATAAGAAATACCGATAAAGATTTCTAGAAAATTAATCTGCATGCTTAATTTCTTTGCAAAAATTATACAACATAAGATTTTATAAAAATACAGTGGAACAGAATACATCATTACCCACTTCAGATACTTATACCAAATTGGACATACACTATACTTTTCTAATAATAAATAAAGGGAAATTAATTCCTTTTTCTCATAAAAAAATCCAGTGGATGAAATATATATTGTACTTGAATGAAATACAGCACAGAAATGTTTACTAATTCAGAAGTCAAACAACAAAAATCAGCGTTAATTTACAAAATTTTCACAGGACTAGTTTCGATGGTTTTACCGAACCATCATCAACCGCAAATGAACAAGATAGGAAATCATTTCCTATCTTGTTCATTTGCGGTTTTGCAGCTGAAGATGATGGTTTGGTAAAACCATCGAAACTAGTCCTGTGAAAATTTTGTAAATTAACGCTGATTTTTGTTGTTTGACTTCTGAATTAGTATTTATTCGGCGTGTTATTGTGTCTTAATTACAGAAATGTTTTTCTACTACCCAGATCTAAAGCATATTTTTAACAAGCTCTAACATCTCTGATCTTTGTTTGGTAATCGATTTCACCCCCTTTACCACATCAGCCAATGTTTTCTAAAATTATGTCATAACAACAATTATAAGTAGTTTATAAAACACATGAAAAGTATTATTTAGCTTAGATACACTAGATTTAGTACAACTAGATTTAGTTCATGAACTAAATTTATCTTATTTTAATTAATGTGCTCACAAACTATATAACTTAAATAAGAAAAAGTAAAAAATATTTGGTTTGCTCTTACACAAACAGCATTCATATGCACTGGTTATCGTTAATTAAGGAAAAATCCCAAAAGTGCCAATTACTCAAAACATTACATGTAAAATTGAATGAAACTGACCCACAAAATACAACACATAGTAAAGTATAAAATAACATGAAAAGAAATTACCAATGATGGTGTTATAGAAATTAGCATATGCATAAAACGAACGAATTGGATGTGTCAATTTGGTATAGGAAAATTACCTTCAATATGGAGTATGATCTCCCCTAGAAGAATACAACACATACGGTGATGTGTGATGCTGTCAATTCTGCAGTCTATCAGTTCTGTAGGAAGTAAGAGCCATTGCTCTTGCAAAGCAGTTGCAAGTGAGGTAAGCCTCTGAAAAGGAGGAATGAGAGCAGATATATGCCTTAATAAAGCAACCCAAACATGCTTGATAGGATTCAAGTCCAGTGATTGAGCTGGCCACTCCATGCACTGAATTATTTGCTGCTGAAGATAATCATCCCCAATGTGTGCCCTATGATTGTCCTGTAGCAGGAAATTATCACTTATTGCTCCAGCATAAGGATGCACATATGAGTCAAGGATGTCATCTCTAGTATATGGCTGAGCATTCATGGTTCCACGTGGAAAGACACGGAAGTCTGTGAGTCTACCCAAAGAGATACCATCCCAAACAAAGACATAGCCTCCTCCGTATGCATTTCTTTCATGGAACATTTGATGGCTGATAATGGGTTGTAGGTTCTCTCCAAATCAAATAATGCCTACTATCACTTTGGTGGCCATAATGAGAACAGCACTCCATTGATCAGCTGTCCACCTCAAACATTCCCTTTTACCATGTGATGTGAATGGCACACAAATAGCTGGTTGCCTCATGACATACAGACCTCCTTCATGAAGCCTTCTGTATGCAGCTGACGTGCACACCAACCTTCCAGTTGCTGTAGCAAGGGAGGATCTGAGCTAAGTTGGAGTTGAGGTTCTGATCCGCCATGTGCATAACAACAAATATCGGTCATCAGGGCTCATAAAGGTAGGCCATCATTGTCTGAATATCCTGGATGCCTAATCTGTGGTTAGAAATTGTTGCCAAAGATATATAAATCACAGAAGGACTTGCATTTAAGACAGAAGGACTTGCATTTGGCCACTTTGTCCTGTCTGTAGTTTCTCAATAGCTCTTCATCACAATTCTTCAGGCAAATGATGCCTGGAGGTTATTGTTACAAATGGATATTCCAGATTTTCTATCTGAGTATCACAATGAAATTAACAGGCCTGCTCTGAAACACGCAATTTTATGCTTTTGGCAGATGATGCATTTTGCTTAGCACCACTAATTTGTATACTGCATTTTTACTCAGCAATTCTTATTTGTTAACATATATAAACTTTATACAGACTGGCTTATTATTGAATGAATTATTGCTATTTTTGTGACTTTTCCTTAATTTTTGGAAACCAGTGTATTATGGTATGATTCAGCTTTTAATAATGTAGGGTTGCTACTAATCTGGAAACTGAAGTTATGTCCTGCAGACCCTGCTGGATGGGTTAGTGACATATCGTTATGTCTTAACAACTTACTAAGTACTAAGGAAGGTTTTAAAATAACCTTTTTATTTAATTTGAAGTTTGAACATAAAGGACATGACTTGCAATAAAAAAAAAAAAAAAAAAAAAAAAAAAAAAAACCCACTTGTTGTGATGTATATTAAGCAATAATAGCTGATTAAATTCAAACACATGTAACATAGCCTGACTACACATTCAACAAAATAAGCTATATGCTGGCTCAATATTTTACCACTGTATAAGTCTAAAACATCAACTAGTGAGGGAATACAAAAGCCAGGATAATCACTTTTAGGTAGAGCTGGCTAGGAATTTTAATAGTGTGATATGAATACCAGAAGCTCTCTCTCTCTCTCTCAAGATTAAAAATCCTCAGATTATATATTCTGAAAGCTAATTTCCATTCTGATGAAGAAAAGAGAAAGAAGTTACAGTACAGATCAAAATCAAATAATTGGTTAATTAACATAAGAACTTCAATGTTAAAAACATACTGAAATCATTGACTTAATTAACGAAAACAACTTTTTTACAAACTTTCAAAACTAACCATTTGTGGTGAATTCTGAACACTCAGAGTGCTACTATTTCCACTTGCATTTTTTAAGTGGTCTTTCAAACTGCAAGAGAAAAAATTGCCAATAAATTGCATAAATATTTTTAATCAAATTTTTTCCCACAAATTTTAGTACTATTAGCATTTATAGTTACTTCCTTTGCTTTCACTACAAATTATTTTAACCAAACTGTGGCATTTACATTAACTGTTTAATCTTACCTCCCTCACATATAAACTGCAAAATCTAGAAAATGCCTCCAGAGGGCAGTGCTGTGCAAAAAGGGAAAAACCCACAGTGTGTTCTTGCTTTGGAGAAGTGAGCGTTCCCGCCTTTGTGGCAAAAATGTTAAATTAATTACAGAGATGTGAAATAAAAGCCACAGTCCTAACTTTATGAAGAGTTTTCGAGTTATTGAGAACAGTGATTTACAACATGAATTTTCATGGGCCATCGAGCCCGAATTAGAAATGAATCAGCGACATCTAAAGAGTGAATTCGTGAAAACGAAAGTGTGCTCTTCTTCCGAAGTGATTGTGTTGTGTAGCCTGTGTTCATAATAATGGAAAAAAAATAATTCGTTAAAACGTGAAAAAGCTACCCTAAAGGGTAAAATCACCCATTTAGAAACTTTTTTAGAATCGGTGGTTGAACCGATAAGTGAAGATATTATAAACGAATTAGAAGTAAAATTAGAAACTGTATGCACCGTGAAAGGATGTATAGCTGAATTACGAAACAATGATTTCAAATTGCCTGTAAAAGTGCATGTTAGTGAAGCAGAATCGGATTTAGAAGAGATGGAGATTCGTCTGGAAAAAATAGAAGTAAGATTAAAAACATTTTTACATACATTAAATGTGAAAGTTTCTGTGAAAAGTTCTGAGAATGAACAAGGTCGATAATTGTCGATAATTGTTCTAAGACAACCGCAGATGTAAAGCTCCCAAAATTGAGTTTACTTACATTTACTGGTAATGTTTATGAATGGATAACTTTTAATAAATTTATTTAAGGCTGCTGTGCATAAGAACGATAATTTTTCAAAAGGACAAAAGCTACAATATTTATTATTATCAGCCCTTAAAGACGCTGCACTCTGAGTCGTAAAGTCAATCCCAGTTTCGGATCAAAATTATAAAGTTGCTTGGTCACTGTTCAGAAAGATTTTCAAATCATAGAGAACAGGTTTTTGCCCATATTACGCGATTTATATCAATTCCATCCATTCACAGTGAATCTGCTAGTGCTTTACTAAATTTAATTGACATTACCTTTGAATGAACAAGAGCATTAGAAATTTTAGAACACATAATTGATGGGTTTGCTGATACAACGTTTGCATATGTTTTGTTAAAAAAAAGTTAGATGCTTCAACAAAATTATGGTTTGAACGCGAATTTGGTAAGAAAAATAATGTTTCCAAATTGAATGACTTAATTGAATTTCTAAAAAAAATCATGCAAGAACCTTAGAAGCGTCTAGAGTTTCTAAGAACACGAACCAAAGGCATTGTTCTAAAGGTACTGTATTGTTAAGTACTGTCAAGTTATCTAAGGGTAGATTCTGTTTGAATAATCATATTATATATAAATGTCCTAAATTTCAAGATATATCAGTTAATGATAGTGTAAAACAGTGTTCTTCAAATTTTCATGTGCTAAGTGTGATAAAAAACATAACACCCTAATTCACTTTGAGAAAAGAAATAATAATTCATACTAGTAGTAGTGTAGTAAATAATAATTTGTACAAGTGAAATAAACATTTCAAGCTAATTAAATCCGAATGTGATTAGTTCTGAAACCAAAAATGCGACTCCCGCCATAAATCAGTCATTTGTCGGAGCGAGTTATGAATGTGAACATAAATCCTTCTCGGCGCCAGAGCAAAGGTTTTCTTTCCAAGGTCGAAAACCTTACACGTTTTTGTCTACTACTGAAGGTTCAAGTGGAAAACAGAGAAATAATAAACATTTTTGTAATTCTTGACATAGGCAGTCAAGTCAACCTAATTCGAAAGGAAATCATGGATATGTTACAAATAAAGAAACAAGCAATAAATGCTCCTATATCTGGCCAGAATAATTCGATTCTAACTGTTAAAAGTAAGCTAGTAACTAACATCTGTGGAAAATTCAAATGGAGACTTTAAAGAAATGTTGAATTTTTAATTGTAGATAATATTACTGATCTTACTCTTTCAAAACAATTGGCCATTAAGAAAATTTGTTTTCCAACAAGTACTTGTTATGCTGACCCAAACCTTTATAGACCAACCAAGATCAATGCTCTTCTGCAAGCTCATATATTTTACCTGCTGCTCAAACCAAATCACATAAAATTACAAGAGGAATCTATCATGTTGCAAGAGACAGTGTTTGGTTGGGTAGTGAGTGGATCTATGAATTTAAACAAAAGAGTTATCATTGTGGATTAGTAAACAAGTTCGAAGATTTAGTAATCAATTAACAAAATTCTAGGAGTTAGAATCCCTTCGTATTAAAGATACTGAATTGAGAAATGAGGGAGATAAGGCCCTAGAGATGTTCAATGAAACAGTATGTTTTAAAGACGGATGATATGAGGTTGGGTTACCTTGGAAGAGAAATTGGGAGAAACTTAAAGACAATTATGATGTTGCAAACCTTGTTAAGAGAATGAAACATAATAATTCCCTATATTTAGAGTACTGTGATATCTTGAATAATTATTTGAGGGAATTATTGAGAAAGTGATGAGCCCGGTTAAGGAAGTGAATAAACCTCTATTTCTTGGCAGATATAGAGAAGGCTTTCTTGCAAATTTCTTCACGTGAAAGAGACAGAGACGCAGTGAGATTTCTTTTCATTGACAATATGAATAATGTATGTGTATATAAATTCAAAAGGATAATTTTTGGAGTAAACACAAGTCCCTTTTTGTTGGCAGTAACTATTAAAAGTGATATAGAGAAGTACAGAAAGGACTTTCCTGCTATAGTACAAACGCTTGATACCTGTTTTTATGTAGATGACCTTATCACAGGTAATGACAACATTCCACCTGCCTTTGAAATTTCTAAAAGTGCCGAAAAAATAATGAGAGACGCTGGGATGCCCTTAAGGAAGTGGATTTCAAATTCTGAAAAGTTAATAAAGGAGTGGAAAGCTGTGGGTTTTAAGCAGTTACGTCCAGAAGATTTAAAGGATAAATTACACAGAGTTCTTGGTCTCTTATGGGATCCAAGCAGTGATTACCTATCCTTAGAAATTAATAGTTTGCTAGTATTTCTCCAACAGGATAGAAACACCAAGCGGTTTCTAATAATAGCTGCTGGAAGAATCTTCGACCCATTGGGTCTTGTGACTCTTTTTACTATCCGTTTCAAGTGCCTGTTCCAGGAGATCTGGCAAAGAACACTTTCTTGAGATGAAGCTTTACCTTCTGATATAAGTGAGAAGTAGATGAGGTGGTGTAAAGAAGCTCCACAACTTAAAAAATTAAAGATTCCAAGATATATACTTGGTTCTTTTATTGCTCAAGATGCAGAACTGGAAATTCCTACATCTTCGGTGCTAGTATTAAGGCTTATGGAGCAGTTGTTTACGTTAAGTTCAAGGTTGAGAGCAAAATCTTAATCAATTACCCTTAATACCGGGTGCTAGTATTAAGGCTTATGGAGCAGTTGTTTACGTTAAGTTCAAGGTTGAGACCAAAATCTTAATCAATCTTGTAGCTTCAAAATCTAGACTGGCTCCAGAAGCTGTCATTGCCAAACTTGAGCTTATGGGCGCTTTATCTGCGGCAAGATTAGCTAGTAAATTTAAACCAATTATTGACAAAAAACAAATATCGAAAAGTTTTTTTTTTTTTTGGGAATGATTCGAAAGTCACTTTATACTGGATTCAAAGTCCAAGCAGAAAATGAAAACAATTTGTATCAAACTGTATGAAAGAGATACAGAGCTTGACAACTGAGGTTACGTGGCATTATTGTCCAGGCATGGATAATTCAGTGTACTTACCCGTGGTGCAAGTGGTGACTCTCTTCTAAATAATTCAACTTAATGGACTGGACCTGCCTTCCTAAAGGAAATTATTCCTGAGCCTCCAGAACACAGAGGATGAGTATTTTAATGAACTGAGAAAAGACTGTGATAGTACTCTTTGACTCAGTATAGCAAAGGACTTTAACTTTTTAAACGTATTTTTCTTAAGTTATGATTTTATGCAAGTTTTAAATTTTATTTTCAGGTTCACTATAATGCAAGAAACCCGAGTACCAAAGGTCAGGATATGTAACTGCTGCTGAAGAGATTTTCTTAATTACAGAAGCACAATCTGAAGAATTTTTGGCAGAGCTGAAAAGTTTATCTAAGGGCAAAACAGCAGCCTCCAATAGTAAGCTAAAAGATTTAGCCCCTTTTATTGATCAAAATTCTATTATTAGAGTTGGTGGTCGCCTCCAAAATTCTAATCTTTTCTGTAGAAAATATCCTGTGGTGCTTCCATCAAAAAACAATTTAAAAGAATTAATTGTAATGTATTTTCACAAAAAATGCTTTCACGTGGGACCACAAACTTCATTGTTATGTGAGAGAAAAATACTGGCCTATAAATGGGAAAAATATTTGCAGAAAAATTGCCATCAGTGCATTGTTTGTTTTAAAGCAAATCCTTCTACTTCTTCTCAGTTAATGGGAAATCTGCCATCTGAGCGTGTTAATGAAAATTTTGCATTTAATGATACAGGAATCGATTTTTGTGGACCCTTTCTTGTGAAATACAAAAACCAACGTAAGGATGTATTTAACAAAGTTTATGTTGCCGTATTTGTTTGCCTCGCAACCTACGCAATTCATTTGGAAATCATAACAGATCTAAAGACACAAACTTTTTTTTTCATAAAAGTTATTTTTTTCCACGAAGAGGCAAATATAGAAAACTTTTTACGGATAAAGCACAAACATTTGTAGGTGAGGCAGCAGAGTTAAAGAGATTGCTTGATATGATGAATTCTCTTCATGAACTTCTTGCAGGATATTTATCTTCCAAAGGTGTTGACTGGAAGTTCATCTCTCCCAAGGCTCCCAATTTTGGTGGTTTTGGGAGGCTAGCGTAAGGTTATTCAAATACTATTTGAAATGTGTTGTGGTAAATACTAATTTAAGTATAGAGCAGTTTTTAACAATTGTAAAAGAAATCAAAGGTTTTTTGAATTCACACCCTTTCTGTCTTCTGATCCTAATGATCATAGGGTTTTGTCCCCCGGATACTTTTTGATTGGCAGAAATCACCTCTATACCTGAGCCTAATTTAACAAATATCCCCGAAAACAGACTTTCCAATTAGCAAAAAATAACTAATTATGTTAAAAAAATTTGGCAGTTGTGGAGACAAGATTATTTTAGCAATTTACATCAAAGATCAAAGTGGCAGTTTGATAAAAATAATGTTAATGTTGGAACTGTTGTGCTTATAAAAGATGAGAATCTTAAACCAACCAATAGGTTGGTTGCTAGAATTGCTGAGATATTTCCAGGCAAGGACAGAAAGGTAAGAGTTGTTAATTTATGGTTACCACATGGAAAATTTGCTAAAAGAAGTAGTTGTCACATATGTATTTTGCCAAACCAATAGCTAGACTATATGGTATATTATTGCAATTGTGTTTTATTCATTACGTCATAATTATTTTTAGTTAAGTTGTAATACAGTGTTATTGTAATATGTGTTTTATTATTGTTATTCAAGTTGCAAAATTTGATTTGATATTCTCACATTGAAATTTGCAATTTCAATGGGCGGGAGGATGTTCAATCTTACCTCCCTCATATATGAACTGCAAAATCTAGAAAATGCCTCCAGAGGGCAGTGCTGTGCAAAAAGGGAAAACCTAGAGTGTGTTCTCGCTTTGGAGAAGTGAGTGTTCCCGCCTTTGTGGCGAAAGTGTTAAAGTAATTACAGAGATGTGAAATAAAAGCTGCAGTCCTAACTTTATGGACTTAAGTGTGTTGTAACTAAAAACAATACTAACTCAATAACTTGAAAACTTAAGTGTTTTCGAGTTATTGAGAACAGTGATTTATAATATTAACTATAAAAGATTTATTAAAAAATCACTATTGAATTTTTGAAATCACTTTTTGATTACTACAAGACAAAGAAAGATAATTTTTAAAATAGTTTAAAGTAACCAATAACGAGGAACCATGTGCAAGCTTTAGACAGAACATTTCAATCCCAAAACAGTTTTAATAGTTTTAATTTTAACAAACTGAAAATGTTCTCTACAAAAACAATTTTTATATCAAATTAAATTCTAATACTTTTAGTTACTTTTGTTTTAAATTATATTTACAGAAACAGTTGCATTTAAAAAAAATAAACACATATTTAAAAAAAGAACTGAATGACCTGAATTAAGATAAAAAAGACTCATCTTCAATAAAATAACATGCAAAATGAAAATCAGCAATTAGAAGTCTGAATAAATTTATAAAGAATTTACTTTTGGACAGATCGTGTCAAAACTTCAGATCGTATTTTGGAGTAAACGTTAATATATTCTTCAATTTTGTGAACTTGCAACCAACTGCTTATTTTTACAAGATCTTTGAGTACATTATCTGAAAAATAATAATTGTCAGTATTAAATAATTATAACTACCAGTAATCGTGAATAAAGTTTTGGAAGATATAAAATTCTTAAAATTAGAGGTAAGCATTCATATTTAAAAGAAAAATAAGAACACGAATATTACAGGTAAGCACTTATGGTTAAAAGAAAAATAAGAACATGAATTATTTCAATTAAAAAAAACACCATCACATTTTTAACTCAAATTTAAAGAGATATGAAAAAATATGAAATCTTACACAAGTTCATAGGCCTGAAAACAATTAAAGAAAAATATTTTAGTAGTAGTCAAGCATGCTTAAAAAAATATTCAGATTTTTATAGCCTTATAATGTGTTAACTTCTTGAGAAATTAAGTATGCATTGCATTGAAGATATTTCCAATTACATATACTTTGATCAATTTCCAGTTAATACTTAACAAGTTCAGTCAAAGTGAAACAGGAACACACCAATATAAAATTTGAAATTAGTCCAAAAAAGCAAACTTATGTTTAGCATCGATTTGGAGAAGGGACTCATCAATTTTTGGAGAATCAGATATAGATACCCTTTCTTCAGTAGCAAAATCACTTTTACAATGAATGGGAGGAGGGCAACCATTTTATTTTAAAAGTACAGTCAAAAGTCGTTAATCCGGACTCGTCGGGACTTCGGCGATTCCGGATTATCGATTTTTCCGGATTATAGATCATCAGTTTAAATCTCGTAAGATGGCATGCAGAAATTCTAAAATTAAAAATATGAAACCGTAATTTATGAAATAAAGAACAATTATGATCTAAAGGGTATGAAAATTTGCAAAAAGAAAAAGCTTAATATTTATTTGTTTACTTTATTAAACATTTCTTTCAATGTAAGTTGTTTAAGTTTTGCTTCGTTTTCATGTGATAATACTTTCTCTTTAATTCTATTAAACAGACATAATTTCTTGTTCAGTTACAAAGTTTCCGCTGTTCAAGTCCTATAATTGCTGTGTCTAGAACACCGATTAATTTGTCAATCGAAATTTTTTCGTTTTCAATAACCTCTGTCACTTTCTTCGCTATCGAAAGCGAATTATAATGACGAGGAACTTGTTTTAAATCATATCAAAGACGGAGCATATCGAGATGAAATACTACATTTGGTAAGGAATTATAAGCCAAATAAAATAAAAACATCTGCGCTGAAGATAAGGATAGTGTTGACAGATCAACTTCCAATTCATTACGCGCCCCCCGCCGAGCAGCGTGAAATTGATAAACAGATTTCGGATTTCAAAACATACTTTCGCTTTAGATCCTTTACATATTAACAAATATATATCGGAAATTCTATTTGATATAATCGAAAGTTTAAGCTTACTTTTATAAAATTGCTCTTACAGTCTGCAAAAAATAATAAGTCGGATCCAATTCGAAAATTAAGGAACCACGCAATCATCAACATTAACTGAAATAGATAATTAGATAATTTTACCTTATACGTCCATTATACATAAAACGCGGACGCGAAAACGTATTCTGCACTTGCGCACACTCATATGCGCAGTCGTAAAAGGTCTTACGCGCTCGCGTAAACGCCTATGCGCATGTGTCAACGCGGCGCATGCGCAGAAAGTTTTTAGTTTTGAGGTCCGGATTATAGATCATTCCGAATTAACGACTTTTGACTGTAATAGGCAAAGCAAAAAGGAACTCAGCACTCATACTAATAAAATATGAAAACGTAATATAAAAGAATTTTTACCCATTAGGAAGAAATGGATTTGAATTAATGCCATTAACGACAGATAAATATCTGCGAATGTGAATAGCTTCAAGGAAATCTAATTCACCAACTAAAGAAAATTTATGAATAATTTTCGAAGTTGAAATTTTGACTAATTGCTTAACTATGATAAACTATAAGAAATTTGTTCCTTTCTCTTTTTCAAACATGAGATTTGCGTTCTCTAACACAGAAATTTAATGCTTTTTTAATTTGGTGGTGGTTTTATATCAAATCCCACTCTAAAAATATGCTATAAATTCCCCAAAATTTAAAATCAGAGATAGAATGTTTAAAAATCAAACAAGAAATTTATAAATAAATTATAAAATAGCTTGAAAGTTGAACATCAAGTTAAACCAAATAATGTGTACCTAAGCATAAAATGCAGTCACATGGTTATTAATATTATTTCCAACAGTGGAAAGCCTTTTTATTATTATTATTTTTAAATTCATCTTACTACCAAGTCGTTTTATTCATATTTTTACTTTAGCATGTTTTATCATTATTAATTTCAGCAGTATAAAAGTATAATCATATTTCTAATAATATAAAAATTCTTAATAAACAAGCAAATAACTAAATAATAGCTTGGACTACATATTGTAACAGATTTTTTACATATGTAGATAATTTTTGTGAAATTATATCTTTTGTATAGTGTAACATGAAATATTTGAAAAAGTGAAGCTCTGCCAGAAAAATAAGGTTACAGGGGCAAGTCTATTTAACATTGAGGTAAATGGCATTCTCTTGCCAAGGTGACAATGGTTTTGGCAACTAATTTTTGTCACAAAATTCAGTGAGAAATCGCCAAAAGCCATACTAGGTGACATTTGGCTCCTGTCCCTGTATAACTATAATTGCCACTGTAATTCAATAACTAATCCATCCTGTATGAAATCGTAACCGGTGATATATGTAACTTCAATCATATATGCTTTCCAGTAATTTCAAGAAATGGAAGGCCTTAAAGATTTCTTGGCAGCCAGGAAAAACTATATAAGGCCAGAGAGAGCAAACTGGTCTCAGTTTTTCAGTGCAGAGTAGACTTCGGAGTATTGAGAGATCTCCCTGTGAGCTTTGCTCTTTAGATACACTTTGCATTAAACTGTGTTTAATGTTCTTAGTAGTTTGAAGTGGTAACTACTGACTGTGCTCTGTTACTTTTGCGGAATGTTCCAGAACTGTAGGCTGTTTCTTCTGAGGAAATAAATTTTATCAAATTATCACCGGTTTTGTGTGCATTCAATCCATTACAAGCCTATAAGCATTCCATGTTATACAGTGCCTTATATACTGATTATATGCATCTATAATGCAATTAATTTACTATAGTTAAAAAATGATGATATTCTTTTCTGAGATGATGAATTACATGATGAAAATGGACAATGATGATATTCTTTTCTATTTTTGTCTCTAACAACAAAGAAAAATAAACTTCTCTTAAAGACTATGCTGCTTTCTTATTATCTGTTCCTCCCCACCCAAAAGTTGCAAAAACAAGGCAAAGTATATCATCAAAATAGTTGCATGGTAGCTCACAATGCCACCCAAAAGCAGTTATGTTAAACCCGCATATACATGCATCATCACATCTGTTTTAGCAATTTTCTTATGTATTTTTAAGCAAAAACAGACTGCTGTGTGTACGGGGATAACAGCAATGCAAGGTGAAAAATTAGTCCCCAACGAGTTTGCAACTTTTCAGCAAGTGTGTGGATAATAAGAAAGTACCAACATTTTTAAGGCATTAGGTGATAAAAATAAAAATTAAATGTATATATATAGAGAGAGAGAGAGGGAGAGAACTTTAAAGTGAATAAATTATATACAAAGTGAACATCCTTTATACATATAATGATATGAGAAAGACCCTTTAATATATAAAATGAAAGGTCATAAAAACCTTTATAGCATACCAGGTAATGGCTCTACAGCTAATCTTTCTTCATCTGTTGGTATTTCTACAAAATATGAAAATTTATACATAAAATCATTTTAGAATATTTTCATTACATTTTTTTTTGGTATTTCTTTACAGCAACCCCCATGATTGAATCATTAATCAATCGAGATACCGCACCAGTTCATGAAACACAAAGATAAAAATAAACAACAAAATATACAATAACAATAATACTCCCTTGTTGTTTTTCAGAATTTTAATAATCATTACAACAAGGGCATATTTCCAAAATTGCTTTCAACAACTCACCAAAAACATAATTTCTTCCAATGTTCTACACTAAACACTGAAAGATGCGATTCGAGGTGATGTTGAGTTGTGCTCCGTTGTTTTTATTACACCACTTGGTTAAACCCCATATTCTTTCTGCATTCTGGCTGTGAACACCTACTGTTGGATCTACAAAATTATACTTTTGGTTTACAGTAAAATGACTGTAACCAGCTTCTTCAAGATGCTCCATTTTATGTCCCTTCCAGCAGTCTGACATTGATCCATCTTATACATGTTCAATAATTATCTCCATAAATGTACAAGCATTGCTATTTGAGATCTGATGACAAAGCACTCGCCATCTGCCTGGCATATTCCTCGAAAAGTCCACTGTAGTAGGAGTACACTGCCACTGTTGTTCTTACGTTATTTTTATGAACATAGATTTCAACTATTTTGGGACTACCTATTCGCCCATTGAATCTTTGCATCAGCTGTAGGGATCACACTTTTTGCATGCAATTGTTCCAATCAATTGCAGAATTTCACACATATTAAGCTGTTTATCACACCATTTGATGAATATCAACTCCTCTACCCAAGAATACATAAATCTAACAGCAATGACTAATAATATTCTTAAAACACTAAACCAATTTCCAACATGAAGGCCCTTCTTTCTTTTACAATTTTTAACACTATACCTCCAAATGATTTTGGCGTTAACATATAGTTTCCTGTTGTGACTATTTTTGCATACTTGCTTGTCAGGTAAAAAAAAATTGCTTGAAAAAATGATATGGTACCTACCTCTTTATTTAGTAAATTAAAGATTGTTAACAGCACATTCACAAAAAAGCAAGAAATATTTTTGAAAAACTAACATAAATTCAAAACTTTTAACAAAAATGAAACACAATGTTAATAAAAAAACATGTGGCGCGAGCAAAAAAATAACACATAGTATATAAGAACAAGTGACAAGATTTTGACAAGATACCTCTGTTGATTAGTGATTCAATCTTGGAGGCCACTATAATAAGGATGTAAATATTTTTTACACTTATACATTAGCAAAATCATTTTGGTGCAGTTTAAAAATTTTTTACAGTAGGGAAAAAATAACTCGTAATTGAAAAAAATTATTACGTACATACATATTACTACTAATATACTTGAATTATTTATACCTAAAATCAATACTTATTTATTAGTGTTTTTTTTTTTTTTTTTTTTTTTGTTAGTCCAAAGGGATTTGAATCCCAAAGGACTATTAGTTTCGTTTTGGCATTTTGCGTCGGACTCATAAATGTCGGTTCACTTTTCAAACTGTTGCCACAAAATGTTAGAGTCCTGCATTATATTTGAAGAAATTAAATAATGAAAAATCTGCATAAATGTATGTATATTTCTCGTATTGTGATAAAAACAACGGTACATAGAGTCATCGAATTTTGAATAACCGTAATCCTCCAACGAATATGAGCATGTGGAAGACCAAATTTGAAATTTGAAATTTGTTTTATGATCGATTTTCTATTTTTTAAAACTTTGACGAATTTTTGATTAACAAGCTCAAGGATTTCAAAGCGAGCAATGGCAACGTTGTGCAGAAAAAAACATTTTATATCTCCAGCGCGTGAGTCTCTGTATCGGAAATTCTAAAGATATGCTCGTTTTAAAACTATTTTGCGATATTGCTGTTGCACTGGATCTTATGGTTTAAGTGCGAGGAACATGATATTTAACAAAGAAAGGTAACACACAAAATGTTAAAAAACGCCCCTTTGGACGTAATTTAAAATCTGAAACATTTCAGATTTTGTTTTTATATATTTTTATTTTTTTTATTTATTTTATTTTATTTTTTTGTTTCTGTTGGAAATTTAGCAATGATCACTTTAAGAATTGAAAGCAACTGCTTTTTACTGATTTTGTGCAAACTTCACTATTCCTAAGGAATCAATCAATTCTTGGTGAATCTTGGCAAACTTACGCCAGTCATCCATGTAGAAGTTTGACGGAACAGATGCCCTTTATTTAGTAAATCAACTTACACAAGTTATGGACATGACCTATAATAAATTTAAATCGCTTGTCACATTTTTTCACGTTGCACAGCAATATCAATCCATTTTCATATAAGTTACGCTTTTCTTGATGCCAGGATGCCATAATTTGGAAAATTATCTGTGCATACTGTTCCATTGAAGTCAAACCCAAATTTTAATAATTTTTTTTTCAAAATGCTATTGAAAACAGATAAACAACAGATAACTAATATTGTTTTAAACAAAAGTTAAATCGATTTATCAAGAACTAATTGGGTTTACATAAAGCTGAAACATTACATTATGCTTATTGATTACTGGTGCTAAACTGAACTGTTTAGTGATAGTTTTTGATTCAAAGCAGTCTATTCATGCTTTACTTATTTGCTTAATTTTAATTTTTTTTAAAGTTTCTAAAATTAAAAAGTATTCTGATTACTTAAATGCCAGATAGTCAGCCTTTTACTGTACTAAGGTGAAAAACGTAGAAAAAACATACAAAGATTTAACGATCACATTATTAATAAAAATGGAGTATCAGAACTGAGAAAAAAGCATATTTATGATACACTTCACAAGAATTCAATTTTAATGTATTACTAACCTTCATCCATTCCAAGCATATCCAGAACAGTACGCAGGCAAACAAATATGATTAAAGTTTTTAAATGAAAGTTTGAAAATTTTAATATAAATTAACTTGAATAACTAAAACTTGAGACAAAATACAAGGTGAATTTAAACAAATTGAAATAATGAGTAAAAAAAGCATACATTTTCAATGATTAACATATAAGAATGAAACTTAATTAAATATTTGTAATAGTGATTGAACTTGATTCACTGTTTTAATGTATTGCATTCAATTCAAGTCAGACATTCCAACAATATTATTGCAGAAATTTTTTTTTACAGTTGCACCGGTTTACTATGACGATACAAAAGGTTGCGAAATTCAGATTTCAAAGCCCCTGCACCTTCATCAAAAAGTGATGTCTGAAAAAGGTAGAATGTTTGAATTTCCAATATGAACAACAGATAGATAAAACTAAAGATTCATGGTCTAAAACTAACCAGTTCTTCCAGTTCTGAACAATCTCGATTAATGCCTTCAAAAAACGCTATGGAAGATTGCACTTTTTTTAAACAATCTAAATACGACTGCAAAGAACCACTTGGCCTACAAAAACATAATATTGAATTATTATGCAATTTTAACATAATTATAACATATCCATATTATTAATCACTAATTTTAATAGAATAATATGCTGCCAATATTTTTAATTATATGTCAGTATATTTATAAACAACACCATGCCATACTAAAATCATGAATGTTCCAAATAATAATAATAATGAAGAAAGAAAGAAAAATCGGCACTTTAGCATTATTTGCCCAACCATGTAAAGAATGATTGAGGCAAGGTGCTACATCGCCAAAGTAGGCAACCCAGAATATAATGAACATATATTTTATCTATCCACTAATGGTTGTGCAAAAATTATGCCAGCACGTAATGGGTGCTATTTTGGAATTCTCATAAGGCAAACAATCAAATTGTATGAAAATATACTATTAAAGATTGCCAGCAAAGTGTTCAAATGCGAGCAGGAAATTGGTACAAAAATAGCTGAATATTGTTCATTACAGCTGTTCACTTTATTTATTGCCCATCTGAAGAATATACATCTGGTTAAGTTTTGTCATTTTTACAGTTTTTCCTGTTTTGATACGTCTCCAAATACAACTACTGATTGGTGTTATTATCTGCAAGAAGTATCGTGTCTCATATGGAAAAAGAAGAATGTCAAAAAATAATTAGTTTTTCTAAATAACAGGATTTCTCTCTCTCTCTCTCTTTCCCCTCCCCTTAAGTTAATGTGTACATGGGTGCCAAGTTGCTATGCAATGCTGAGAATTCTACAATTCTTTGATTTTTTTAACATTTTGTCTGTTACCTTTATTTATTAAATATCACGTTCTTCACACTTAAACCATAAAATTCAGTTCAAGAGCAATATCGCAAAATAGTTTTAAATTGAGCATATCTTAAGAATTTCCGATACAGTTTCCCACGCAGCAGATAAAAATGTTTTTTCTGTATAACGTTGCCATTGCTTGCTTTGAAATCCTTGAACTTGTCAATCAAAAATTCATTAAAATTTTACAAAATATGAAATCAATAATAAAACAAATTCCAAATTTCAAATTTGGGCTTTCACATGCCCATATTTTCAGTAGGATAACGTTATTCAAAATTCGATGACTCTATGTACTGTTGTTTTATCACAATGTGAGAAATATACAAACATTTATGCAGATTTTTCATTATTTAATTTCTTTAAATATAATGCAGGACTCTCACATTTGGTGGCAACAGTTTGAAAAGTGGAACAGACATTTATAGTGAACCAACACAAAATCACAAAATGAAAACAACAGTCCTTCAAGGGCAAAGCCCCTTTGCACTAAAAAAAAAAAAAAGAAAAATTTTCATTGTAGATGTAGTGTGTTATAAATGATGTGTGTTCATAGTAGATGTTTTATGAAATTTTCAGAGTTCCCTTATGGATGCTTGTTTTATGTAATTTTTACTGTTTTATTGTGGCTGTTTCTTGTGCTTTTAATTTCAATAATTCATTGCTGTTTTATTTAATTTTCAAGGTGCCGGTATTTTTCAAAACTATTAAAGATTTTTCAAAACTAATATTTAAAAACTACCATTTTTTACATATTAGGTTGGCAAAAAAGTAGTTACTGACAACTAGCAACTTTACAGGTGCACTATCAGAAAAAGTGAAAGTACAAAACGATCTTCAAAAACTACCTCTAACGGTTATTTTACATGAGCTTTCTTATTTGCTAAAACATGGAAAAAAAAAAAAAAAAAAAAAAAAAAGAGAGAAATCTAAACCATATAACATATATTTAAATTAAAGAAAGCGAAAACAAAGGTTTACAGCTTGGCAATGGTACCAATTATATACATATGTATAAGTACAAATATTTGCATTGATATTTACAGATAAAATAATACTTTAACTGAAAATCCAATTAAAAATCTGAAATTAACTTAGACTAGTAACTTACAATGCACACCTTAATTAATGCAAGTTTCTTGCTTAATTATTTAAATATAATTTTCATTTCAAATTTATTTATGGTTTAACATCCTTCACTGGTACTTGCACATTAATGCAACCACCAAGGACAATCTGGAGATTTTTTACAGATGAAAAGGTACAAGTTACCGGTTGCAAGTTGGTGATTTTTGCAACTTTTTAAAGAAAATTCCCAAACTAGCATTGATCATAAAGTGCCAAACATTATCGACATAGCAAAAGAAAACATATTTTAGCAATTTAAAATACAAATTTTAATTATTAAATAAGGATCATATAATACAAAATTAAAATAAAATATACTTTTTTCAAAATCATTTTCTTATTTTTTGCTCTGTTCTTCTCCCAGTGTAATTAGCAGTCTGTTTTCACTTAAAAAAGCATCACAGAACGCATAAATTCATCATTGCTCATAGGTTATCTATCAAATGGATGTCACTATAGTTCCCTTCAGCAATGTTGCGATAAAATACTGCATTCCTGCAGAAATTTTACCACAGTTTCTTCCATTGCTGACTAATTCCACAAACCTTAAAATTGAATTTAAGGCAAAAAACATCATAATTGGTATATAAAATCAATGGAACTTGAACTATAACAAAAAGAATGCAAACAAAAATGGCAATATTACTTGACTGTTATGTACTGTTATGTACAGTTGCCTAATTAATGTTTATGCACATGGTTGCCAGAGTTTGGCCCATTCTGAAAATCTGGAGACTTATATGGTTGTTACGGTAACATGCAAGTACCTAATCATTACATATAATAATCATGCAAATTTTTATTATTTTTAGAATGACATGGCAAGTAAGTTTTAAATTCATAGTTATAATTATGACAATGATGAAATGTCTAAATGTAATTATCATAAAGTAAACCATACAGGAATTTGATTTATAGAGACCAAATAGAACTTATTTCTATACAGACCACTAGGAAGTTTGTGATGGAAAGAATACCAATTTTTTAATGTCACCTCTCTTCCCTACCATCACAACACACGAGAGGACTTTTGGTTCACCATATATTTAGAGTGTCTCCATGCTGCAAAGATATTATACATTTACGAACATATACACCTTCTCCGGGATTCGAACACGGGTCCAAATCAAAGTCTTTCCAATCTATATGTTAATATACACAAATATATATGACAAAACAGCTCATTGCTACTCAGCAGTAAATATATTTACAGTTGTTACCAACTGAATGACATACAACACTCATAGTGCAAATACAATAGTGAAGCTATTATATCTTTCTATGCTAAACAAATTCAAGAGAAGATATGGAAAAGTTTTCTACAATGGTAATTATATATATTTTCCAAAGTATTGTATATAAGAAGCTGAAATTTTTTTTTAATATTAAAATGCTCTTATTGACCACACAGCACTTTTAGAGAGGCAATTCTAATTTTTTCAATACATATAATGTCATGATTTCAACAAAGATGCTACCAATTGTAAATCATGACAATTTTAATTTATTTTCCAAATTTTAATTTATTGTTCCTTAATCTTCTAATTGGATCCGGCTTACTATTTTTTGCAGACTGTTAGAGCAATTTTATAAAAGTAAGCTTGAACTTTTGATTATGTCAAAAAGAATTTCCGATTCTGGAGCAGCCAAAGGATCTACAAAGCGAAAGCATGTTTCGATATCCATCAAACAAAAAGCGGAATTGTTGCAAAAAATGTATAAAGGCGTATCCTTTGTTTCTCTAACCATTCCAAAATCTGTTTATCAATTTCACGCTGCTCTGCCGGGGCAGGGCTGCATGCAATGAACCCTTTAGATCATAATTGCTCTTTATTTCATAAATTACGGTTTCATATTTTTAATTTTATAATTTCTGCATGCCATCTTACCAGCTTTAAATTGATGATCTATAATATGGAAAAACCCCTAATCCGGAATCGCCTGACGAGTCCAGATTAAAGACTTTTGACTGTATTACTTCCTACCATTTGTATGGTGTAGTGGTCAGGAGAGCTTTTTGCAGTACCGAAGGACCCAGGGTCGAATCCCAGAGAAGGCATATATGTTCGTAAATGTATAATATCTTTGCAGCATGGAGGCACTCTAAATATATGGTGAACCAAAAGTCCTCTCACGAAGTTGTGACGGTAGGGGAGAGGGGTAGAAGACCCTCGGACCATCGCCCGGGGAGCTCTCCTTCAAAACTGGGGTGGAAGTAGAAGGTCCAATCTCTTCGAGGCTCTGGCAACCACTCTTCCATAAAATACATGGACAACAACATACTGACACGACAACATATTGCTTCCTAATGTAACAAAGCAAGCCATTTGAAAAGCATCATCTTATCTCCATTACTTTGCAATTATAGTAATAACAGATTTTTCAAAAAATCACATTGTGTTTGAAATATGCCTTTTAAAACTCATGATTCATGCTATATAAATTCAAACAATTAAAAAATTTTTTATCATTAATGAATTTAGAAAACAGATTACAATTAATTTTGAAAATGCTTAAAGTGCAATAAATATGCATAATGAATGTATAATACTAATAATAATTTACTGCAATGAGACATACATATCACATGTATTGGATGAAAATGTAACAAAATACAAACTTACCCTACACGAATTGATGTTTCCACTTCTTTAGGAATTTTATAATACTGTATAACATAATCCAGTCTATCTAATATTTTATCAATATCTTTCATAATTAAGGATGCATAAATAAAACTTGAAAATAAAAGTAATTTTTACCTTTCTTATGAAATGATTAAAATGATTTAAATATTAAATATTAAAATATAAAATTATTTAGATTTCCCAAATTAAAAATCAACAAACGGCAGAATTCAGCCAACATGCAAAATATTTTTAATTTGGCAAATCATTTTTTAAAGCAAATTGTAATATGTATTTAGGGAATTTCTTACATAGTGGTAATTTTGTTGTCAATTTTTAGACAGCAAACCATTTCTTAAAACTGATTTTAATCTGATCACCGATTCTTACTGATGTTTATGCATTTCTTAAAAATATTAAAAAATAAATATCAAAAAATATACTGCATGTTCTGAACACAAATGCACACTTATGATTTCAAAGTCATTCATTCGAAGAATTTTCCCAGGCTTTCGAACAATGGTATACTGAACTGACAAGCAATAAGGGGAACAATATAACTGTGGGTGAAATGCTTCAGAAAGTAAATAATTCTGCAAAACGAGCGGATTGTATTTAGTGCAGGTGTGCACAAGAATGTTATTCAAGGGATTCAAGAAAAGTGGGACACAATCTGGGGTAAGAATGAACTTCTGACCTCAATGAATTCGTTGAATTAGGAATCGGATGTTTTATCTTTCTGTAATCAGGGCACAGTTTCTAAAATTAGAAGTGCCGGAGCCCTATGTAAGACCGTCAGGAAAAGGAACAAGAGTAAATAAATAAATAAAATGGCGATTAGAATCCTTAATAATTTAAAAATTGAATTGTTAACTATTACCAGATTAATTAAAAATTATTAATACTAATAATCAATTTTTGTATTGCTATTTAATTAATCATTATTATTCATTAAAATAATTACATACTTAAAGATTAAAGTAATTAAATGATTAAAATTAAATTAAAATGTACAGAGATAAATTAAAATTTAATAAGTGATTTTTAATATAATTTTATTGCCAAAAATAAAATTGAGATCATATTTCTATTGAAATTTTTTGCAGTTACACAGAATAAGTGCCGAAGCCTTCTGGTTTAGGACTCCGGTGCACTCCATCTAGAATTATGATTTATTCTAAAAATCAAGAAGTTCCGGAGCTAGGCTCTGGCGCAATTGAAGCTCTGTATGTAATCATTTGAAGCTGCGATTCTGAAGTGAAAATTGAAGGCTTTAAAAAATCACATTTGCTTTAGTTGAAATACAACTGATCTAGAGTTCCTTTTAGTAGCAAATATGGCTCCTACTAAATAAAACAAATATAGTGCGGTTGCAAAAGCAAAATCATTAAATACGGGAAAGAAAATAGAAATTGTGCTGCAACAAGGATGCTTAGTGTGGGTGAAAGTTCCATACATGAGTGGAAGAAAAATGAAATCAACCCAAGATTTATGCCAAAGAATAAATCTGCTTTGTATAAGGAATTAACAACATGTCCTACCCTAGTGGAAAGTGTTGCACACTGGCTCCTACAAAATCACCAGATTGGGTTAACTGTAACAAGAAACAGTGTATGTTTATTTGCCTTAAAGTGAGGGGGGAAAAAAAAATGAAAATGAAAATGAAAACTTTAAAGAAACTTTGAGCTGGTGTAGCTGACTTAAGGCATGGGACAGTTTAGTTTTATGAGCAAAAACAAAAGTTTTGCAAAGGATTCTGAAAGATTCGGACAACAAATTGTTAAGTTTCCAAAAGTGTGTTATTGACCTACGAAAGCCAAAAAAATTATTTACTGTCACATATTAGATATATAAACGAAACTCCACTAATATTCAGTACGATAGGAAATGAAACAATGGATGCGAAAGGAAAAAAAAAAAAAATGATTCATATTAAAACAACAGGCCACGAAAAATCTCACTTTGCTGTAGTATTTCCCTGCTTATCGGATGATACAAAATTAAAACTCAGGGTTATTTTTAAAAAAAAGATGATGTCAAAATGTAATTTCTCAAATGGTGTTTTCATTCATGTTTATATGAAAGGAAGGATGGATGAAATGGTATGAAACTATGGATAAGAAATGTTTGGTAAAAGAGCCTCTTGCCTTGAAGAATCCAGAATTTTTTTTCATTTGGGACATGTTCAAGTCCTATCTAACATATATGAAGAAACTGTTCAGAGTATAATACAGACATGGCAATTATTCCAGGTGGATTAATGACATTAGTTCAGCCGTTAGATGTGTGTACCAATAAACAATTTAATGAAAATTTAAAACGACAGTGGAATACATGGATGCTATTCACAAAAGGAGGCTAAATTCATCTTGCCAGTCTAGAAATAAAGTAGATAATAAAAGCATGGAATGAAATTAGTTCCTACATAAGTCAAAATCACTTTAAAAATATAGATGGAATGGAAGATAATTATTTATTTATGGTTCATAAATGATGGAGCAGATGAAACAGAATTTGCTGATGTTTTTAACGGAACATGAATTTGACGAACTTTTCACGATATCCAATAATGAAATTTTTTTTAAGTTTGTAAGGTAAATCATTTCTTTTAAATAAACAATATGCTTATCTTTTCTTTATCTTTAAATCTTTTACTTTTATATCTGGTGTATAATGCGCACCCATAAATTTCGATCTTATTTTTTGCATTAAAAGTGCATGTTACATGGTGAAAAATATGGTGTGTACATATATACATAAACTTGTAAATGTTGCTCTTATAATATGCTGAATATTATTGTATTTTGAAGTCACAATAGTTAAATCATCAAACATAATAAAATTATATATAAAACCTTTACAGAATCAAAATAATAATAATTAAAAATTTCAGCATTACAACTCTGAATCTGGAATGATACAATTTTTATTTACATAAATAACTTACAATTTTTGCCTATAATACAGGATTATAGAAGATATCTGGAGGGGAATCCTCATGACAAAAAAGAAAAACAAAATCAAATGAAAGCAAAAACAGTATTAAGACGACGAAAGTTGACAGAGATCCCGTCAAAGTTGCAGCAAACATTGATGCAGAACTCTAAGCTGCACTTCTGTCTGCAGTTCTTAAAATAATGCACTATCAGTCACTCTGCATAATACACTGAATAGCCACTGCTTCAGAAGTATTTAAACCGCTTTGTTTCTGCACTATGTAAAAAGACTTTCATCGATTTCTGTCATCTTTTTATGGACTCCAATTCTGCCAAAAGCTCTGTTTAGGACATTATGACTACAAATTTCCTGCAGGTGATTGTTCTAAACTATAAGGTTATTCATAGTGAAGTATGGTATTGAACTTACTAGAATATACAGTCAATTATAAACAAACACTTACCAGAAAAATTTAATGGAAAGGGCAAGTTAAATACTTTTATTTTATGACATTATAAGTATTCAATATGACTCTATTTTCACAGCATACCATGAACCTTTGACCCATTCACAAACTTGTGAAATAGTAGGCCTCTTCCTTCTTCCTGATGGTGTAACCTCAAAATTTGAAGACTGCATCCAGTTGTTAAATTTCTTCATAAATCCCTTAAATGATTTATTAATGCAGACATCTAAAGGTTGAAGCTGACTAGTTAGGCCTTCTGGAATAACAATTAACTGAGTATCAGTTTTTTTAATTTACTTTTAACATCTTCTGTTCTGTGAAACTGATCCCATACTAGAAAGGCAGGTTTCTTCAACAGTCCGCCAGGGCTCCTCGACCAAGTCCCGTGAACACAACATCCAGATAATAATCCATTTCTTCCCCCAGTTGTTTGAGCATGTCTGGTGTTACTAAGTTCAGAGTGCAATCTAGTCATATTCATATGCCTCCAAGTTGCATAGGTAAGGTAGCACATACACTTTTGTCTTTCACAAAGTCCCACAAGAAAAAGTCAATGGAGTAATGTCCAAGACTTGGAGGCCCAAGGACACAAAACTTTGCTGTTTGTTCTACTGTGGCCAATCCAACAATTAGGAATCTTATTATTGAGATCTCTCATCTCTCATTATTGATCCATACACTTCCAGCACCATCCTGCTGAAAAACAAAAAAATTATTCGAGTCTTCCTCTAGAGAAAAACCAGATCTGTAACATACCAAGACATGTATTGCCATTCACCATCTTTTCAAATAATAATAATAATAATAATAATAATAATAATAATAATAATAATAATGGATCTCCAAAATTGCACAAAACACATTTCCTTTAGCTGAATCTTGTTCATGCTCCATGTACAATGAGGGTTTTCTGTCCTTCAGATTTGCACATTGTGACACATTTAACTTTCCCGCTGACAGGGAATGTTGCCTCACCACTGAATAAGAGGAAGGGCAAGAAAAAAAATTCTCATGTTCATATTTGTCCTACATGTTCATAGAAAACTCCCCTTATTGATCCTCGTTTCTAGGAAGCAAAGCTTGACTCAACTACAATCTAAAAGGTTTCATTTACAACTGTTTCCTTAAACATGCCATATTGTTTGCAGAAGTACCACTTCATAAATCGCTTTATTAGTTGATTTCTTTGGGCTGTGTAGAAATATAGTTCTATCTTTTCCACATTCCTGCTTTTAACTGTGCCTTTACAAAAACAACCTATTTCTTCAGACTCGTATACTACTTTTGAAAGCTTTTGTCAGTTGGACTATCTTTTCCAAATCATCTATGAAACACTCGTTGGACCAAAATTACAGATTCCAATATTGCAAAACACAAAACAAATTCTCTTCCCAAAATGCCCTTATTTGTTCTAATGATTGCAGCACCACCACAACTTCTGCACTCAGTACCAGCTGCGGGAAAAAGAAAACATTTGAGTTTTCCTTCTTTTTAAACCCATTCTAGCATGTCTCTGTTTAAAAAGGAATATATTACAATCTTTTAAGATAGTTTACATGATTTTAAATAACCTTGTGTCATTCTCTTGTCAGCCATAACAAACTGTTTTCCCTCCTTTCAACAGATATTAATTGTTTTGACTAGCTGTAAATGAAATGCAGTTTGGTTACAAATGTGATTCTATAGCCCTCAAACTCATTGTTTTCAAAATGCCAGGAAAAAATACAGCAATAAAAGTTGATTTATATCCTTGTTCATTAAAAAAAGATGGCTTATCAAGAATCATTCAGGTTTATAACAAACAAAAGAGCAGATATTAAGTATTTTTAGACAATTACTGTATTTGCTGGCGTATAAGATGCACTCCCTTTTTTACACACATTTTGAAGAATAAAACTGTATTACTGATTATTATAATAAATTTACGGTATTTTAAATATCAATACAAATAATACTTTCTGCAATTACCCAATGTATCTGGAAAAAAACACCGTTTAATCTTCTTCACTAAAACCCAGACACTTATCTCCAGAGTCACTTGAAACCTCTTCTAAATCAGCACTTGAGTCCTCATACAATAAATTGCCCTCTGTACCATTCAGTGCATTACTAATGCCACACTTCATAAACGATTTAAAAACTGACTCCTTTCACAGCATACCATGAACCTTTGACCCATTCACAAACTTGTGAAATAGTAGGCCTCTTCCTTCTTCCTGATGGTGTAACCTCAAAATTTGAAGACTGCATCCAGTTGTTAAACTTCTTCATAAATCCCTTAAATGATTTATTAATGCAGACATCTAAAGGTTGAAGCTGACTAGTTAGGCCTTCTGGAATAACAATTAACTGAGTATCAGTTTTTTAAATTTACTTTTAACATCTTCTGTTCTGTGAAACTGATCCCATACTAGAAAGGCAGGTTTCTTCAACAGTCCGCCAGGGCTCCTCGACCAAATTTTATCTATCTATAACATTCTTCTTCCTCCATCCTTCCGGCCTTTTGTATGAACATGTATAAACACTTTTTTAGGTAAATTTTCTTTGGATAGTGTCTTACTTTTAATAATCAATAGTGGTAGCACGTTTGTTCCATCAGCACAGCAGGATTTAAACACCTGTGCAGTGAATTTTTTCGTGCCCTGAAGTTTTAAGAGCAACACTTTTTAGAGTTTTGTTTTAGTGCACATCAAAAGTCAGAGGAACCTTGTCCATGTTTCCTATTTGTGCAAGTTCAAAATTTCCCCCTTTTTTTTGTGCATTAATGACAAAGCAATGAAATTCAATAATTGTTTGTTCATATTTGTCTGGCATCTTTTGTGATATGTTTGTTTCAGCCAGCATACATAGCTGGTTTCTCTTCATGAATCTTAAACATCATGAGGTTGATCCAGTAAAATCGACAATCTCTCTATCAGTTGTTACTACTATCACTTGATCACATTTCACAATAATCACTTTTGTAGAGACTGAAAGTCCTGCTTTTCCGCTAAAATCCAAGTTTTCAACTCTGCCGTTGTGCAGTTCCCCTTCATAAGTTGTGTTTACTGTGAGTTGCTTTCTTTAAATCCTCTTCCTGATTCCACCAAGTTCTTATCATTTTCTCAGTTGGGGGTGGCCCGAAATGCCTCTCTGCAGCTGTTTCCATGTTCCTTAGCATACGTAATCACATGTAGCTTGTATGCTATGCTGTAGCAATGCCGACGTTGTTTTTGAGCATTAACTTGCCAACAAATTTAAGAAAATTTAACAATAGAAATTTCACACACTTAAAAGTCGTTTCCAAAAACAGGAAAAGTTTAAAAAAACCCAGCTGTGATCGTCTATGAGAGCGCATGCGCATTCACTGAACTCTGCGTGACTGTAACACTGTGCAAGGAAACCAGGAAAAAATCACATAACTCCAAATAAAGGAAATTTCCAGAAATTAATGAAATCAAAAACTGAGTATCGACGTATAAGATGCACTCTGTTTTTCAGATCTATTTTCAAAGAAAAATGTACATCTCATATGCTGGCAAATACAGTATATAATGTTTTATCCGTAACTAGTACAAAATCATACTGCTTGAAAGAGAGTTCCACGGCTGGTGGGATAAATGTAAGTAATGCAAAAACTAGGAAATGGACTTATAAACAGAAATCCAGACATTATTTTGCATCATTGTGTAGAGTTATACTGATAAATAATGCTACTTAGTCCAATAACCCTAACAAACGTGAAGCAAATTATCGCTACGTGTGAAATAATGACAATTGCTGAAATTATAAATAACTGGTAACTATCAAAATCGTAAAAACAACCTTGTATTTAGCGTATCATCATCATCATTACACCTACGCTAAATACAAGGTTGTTTTTACGATTTTGATTGTCACATTAGCGTGTTTCTCTTCTAGTCTAACTGGTTAACTAACATAAAATTCTCTACAATAGACACAGCAGACTTCCATTTTCTTGAAGAGACTAAAAAAATTCTTCAAATCAAAAAGAATGGTATCAAAATTATCATACCTTTCAAGACCTATAGCAATAGTTTATAATAGTCCACAGTTAATAACATAAGGTTCATAAAAATTAGATTCACCTGAAATACATTAGAAATGAAATTAATAAAACTTTCAATGAACTACAACTCTTTTTTTTTTTTTTTTTTTATGTTGCGAGTTCATGCATCTTCATATCCTTATTTCAGCAATATAATTTACTATTATAATACTTCAAAAAATGTTATTCAAAATAAGTACAAAGATGAGGTCTGAATTCCAGCCATCATATCTGATATCATTATATTTAATATTAATACAAAATTGTTAATTTTATGAATAGTATCTCATTTAAAGTAAGGCTTTACTTGATTTATGTTCCACATCTTTTACTTAAAGAAAAATTAAATACTTTCTAAAGGATACTTTCTTGTCTACGTTGCAAATTCCCAGTTTCTAAATATACAGGCAGAATAGTCTGTTCAAGTTTCATTAAATGCTCATCAAATGAAGTGAGAATGGTACTCATTTCTTTGCTGAGGGAACTACACTTAGCAGCCTTATCTTTCAGCAGATTCAAACTGTTAGATTCCTAGAAGAAAATAAAGGTATTTATAACATTCTAAATTTGAATTCTTGTATAATAAAATGAAGTTACTTTACTTTTAGGTATTTATTTAATAGGACTATGGGATACTACTATGAGATAATTAGAATATGTTTCTTAAAAGGCATTTTTATGATATTACTGACAAAAGTTTAACCATGCTATATTTTAATTATGCTAAACTCTTGAGTTCTCTTTTATGTAGTTTTTCTTAAATAGAATATATGTGGAATGCTAAATACAATCATACAAAAAAAAAAGCTACTTGTGGATTATCGCATCCACTATGAAAATTGGCTGAGATCCTGTCAAAGTTGCACTAATTGTTTCTCTGGAATTCTCAAGGAACTGCTACCTCTTCATTTAATAAACACCCAGAATTTTACCCGCTTTGTAAAAAAGCTTTTGTTGATTTCTACAGTTCTGTTAGGCTCTCCAATTTTTTTTTGGAAGGAAGAGGAATCAGAAGCTTCGTTTAGAATGCTATGAGTACAAACTTCCCATACCAGTTTATTAACGATTTGTCAGCCATATTCAGCTGCCCATATCGTATTCACTAATACTCAAGTATTTTGATGGTAATATCCCACAACTTTAAAAATAAACAACTTAATGTTCTATAGAAGGCAAGTTCCAAGTTTTAATAATTTTTTTTCAAAATGCAAAGAAAAATACATCAATAACAATAAATGTATATCTTTGTTCATAAAAACAAAATATGGTTTGTCAAAAATAGATCAGAATACATTAAATGAAAGTGAAAATGTTGTAAATGTGTTGTTACATCACGCTTATCCATGACTAGCACTAAATTCCTCAAAGGGATAATACTTAAGTATCAAAAATAATAAATATATAAAATAAAATTATTGAAAATAAGCACTTTCTATAAAATATAGGAATTGAGAACATTCTAAAAAATATGGGAATGGAGAACACAGCAAAAAGAAGTAGATTCTTGTAAATGTGATTTTTCACCCACCTGAAATTCCAGTACTAATGCATTAAAGCAGCCAATTTTGTGCAGTCTGGCAGTCGTTTACAAATGAAAAGGTAAACATTATTTACAAGATGTACATTGGCAATTTCTGAGATTTTTTTTAATTCCCAAACAAACTGTATTTATTATGAGTAGCCATACATTATCAACATATCAAACGAAAAAAACATTTAAAAATAACAAATTTTACAAGTGATATTTTAAAATAGAGTTCAAGGCAAAAAATATAATGATTTGCCTTCAAAAACCGTTGGAACTTTGGATTACAACAAAAAGAAAGCATACGATATGTTTCTCAACTGAAGGATTGTTATGATTATGGTTGCCTAAAGAATGTTTATGCACATGGTTGCCAATGTTTGGTTCAATCTGAAAACTTTGCAACTTCTAAGGTGGTTGCGATAATATGCAAGTACTGAAATTCCTTATGTCACTTTCAATGCATGCTGGCTAGGGAATCACATTATAACCAATTACAATGTACTGATTCATATTGTCTTTGATGTTTGCCAGTCATCGAAATCACACTCTTAGCCCTTTGGTGGTTGTGAGGAGGTGCAGGGTCAGTGCTATGCATTTTGCTGACCAGTGCAACCTCTCTGGATGCTAAATTTTGCTGCCTGGTATGCCATTAAATTCTAAAAAGTCTGATGTTCATAAATTCTATTGCCCAAAGCCTCTCCTGAATTCTAAAAATTTTGCCACCCCTAAATTCTCCTGCCTAGAACAGCTAGACTAGCGTTGGTGACAGCCCTGTTGAGGATTAACATTTTTCTATCTGATCTAAACAACAAACAAAGACCCAATGTTGCGATCTCTACATGCAATTTTCCTAGATTTAAACTGATGTTCTAAATCTTGAAATTTCCAAAATCCAGAATCATTGAAGTCCTAACAATTCAAGATCTTATATTTTACACTATATTTATAATGCTAAAATGATTTATTAGTTATAGTTCTGATATATCATCTCAAAAGACTCATGGGAATAATTATTGAGCATTATTATTTGTGACAGAAAATAATGTGCATGTAATTTTTCACTGAAAAATCCATTTCACTATGCCTCGAAATAATTTTAATCTAAATGAACATTTGTAGCTTACTCAGAGGAAAAAGTTGTAACCTACACAGTTATGTGGATTTTTATAACATGTATAAATACATAATAATGTAATTTAAGATTTTAAGTCCCTTTCATCCTTTCAAACTAAACCACAAATTTATCACTTTAATTATGAAGGGCAGCATCCCTTTTTGGCTAATCTTTGGAATATGGTAACAGGTAGTTTGGCGACATTTTGGTAAGGCAATAAAGGTTACTAGCTAGGACTTGGATATAGTCAAGAGTGTGCGCAATGCCATTTTTGTGCAATTCTGGGATGTTTTTTTAAGTGAAAATAGGTCGACGTGTACATGGATGATACCGTGTATGTGCAATTCGTAAAAACGCGGCAAGCAGTGGGCGATTCTGCACTTTGTCATAATTTCGCACCTAATCTTCGTCATGATTAAGCACTTTTATTCCATAAAAGTTCTAGCATAAGCGTAATTCGGCTAGCAGACTGTTGGAAATGTTGAGTAAAAAAAAAAAAAAAAACATGCCTTTACTTTGTGAAAACAAAAAATGGCATCCAAACAAACACTAGCAGGTTGCTGTAGCAGGGTTGGTCGCCAAATTTCGCCAAAAAATCGCCGAGTTACCATAATCCAAAGATTAACCCTCTTTTTTCATATGTTGCTTGATATATAATTCAAAGCTTTTTATACTAAGCTAATTATAAACTTGGTGTTATATAATTAAACGAACAAGTTTGAAATTTGCTTAGAATAAGGTACAGCATCAATGTGATACTGATCACTTCTTTATTTACTAATATACAGGAAATAATGAGCCCGTTTTTAAGAAGAAAAAATAATCATTCAAAAACAAACAAGATATAGCTCATTTGATATTGCTCTAATTTCAATTAAGAAACATGTTATTTATGCTTTTAGACTTAGATGGCTTGGAAAGATTGACTTCTCTTCAGTTAGTTGGCGTAAACTTTTATCCTTCACCATCACATTTGAATAAACTTGAACAACGACATGTAAAACAACACGACTACGAAATTATGAGTTATTTGTATTTTACTACAAATCAAACTGCAGCGACTGACTCGAGAATTTTACAAAATGGAATCTAAATCTGACACAAAAAATATGTCATTGATTTCTCTTCCGTTAGTACAATTTAGAAATAACTTGCTTCGCTTCTCAATAAAATCGACACAATTTTTTTAATTTCGAATACCTCTCGTATATATATATATTAATGCAAGATTTAAAACAGTAAAAAACTCATAAACCTTTTCTAGTTTAAGGCCTGGATCTTCCATTGTAAATAAAATGCACGTCAAACCCAGTTTACATGCTAAATCGATCACTATGTACAACTCACAACTCCGTGTTTGGGAGTTTCTGTTTTAAAACTTTGTAGTTATGTTGCCAGATAAATGAATTTTCCCTTTTCAGCCAGATACATACTTTGAGGCCGTATCCCCTTTCGGAGAAAAAAAAATTGCTGTTAAAAACATTCCACACACACACACAGATCGTATTTTATTCTCGAGTGTCAAGATGTAGGAACATCTTTTTACTCGACTCAAAGAATCTGTAAGGAAGTCTCCTTAGAGATTCTTTGCTCGACTTCTGATAAAGATCGGGTGGGGGGGAGAAAGAGTAGGGTGAAAGGAGTGTGGGAGGCGGATGAAACAGAGTGAGGTCCGCACTAGAAAAACATTCCAAAATTAGGACTGGAAAAACAGTAGCTTCCAAAATAATATCATTAAAATCCGTAATTTGAATGCTCACAGTCGCTCAGAAAAAAACTATAACAGAAACAAACAAACTAAACTAAACAAACACAAAAAAGGTAGCTAGCGACATTGCTTTTAAAAAGCGTGACAATTGCTAGGTTTCTGCTTCCATATTTTTAACACTTATCATAATAATTATATCATAATAGATAATATCAAAGTAAGCAATGAGTATTTCGTACATTTATGTTGAGAAGAACTTCGTGTTGACAACATCAAAGACACGGTGACAATTTTAAGCAGTCTAAAGAACAGGATTACAGTTATTAATGCCGAATAACAATTATTCGAGGTGCTAAAGCAACAAAAATCAGAGTAATATTTATATATTTTCGGTACTAACTTATGGTATATTCAGAGAACAGACTTGAAAGCTGTATTTCTCTCTCGTTTGGTGTCAGGGCTGCGTATTTCCAAACCCTACCCCACTTTTCGAGTTTTTGACGTCATGGACAAATCGACTAGTTTCGCCTGGATGCTAATTCTTAAGCATGCGCTGAAGGGCCAGATGTAACATAAAGAGAACTTTGGCTTACGCTTGTAAACGATATTAAGTATATTGTCTGAAAGTGTATTCGTTAATGTGATTGCATAATTTTACTGTTTCTGTAATAAGAAAACTTCTTTCAGATAAAATTTATTTTAATATTATTAATATCTGGTTATAGGATTATACGAAATGCTGAATACTCTAGATACTATCGTAATCTTCGCATAACCTTTCACGTTGGATTTTGCCTTATCATTTTAAAATATATTGTATTATAAAGATTAAATCAAAGCAAATTACTTTGTTAGAGATGTGAATGTTCTGACTGAATTTTCTTCTTATTATTTATTTCCTCTTTGAAAACACATTCATATTTGACAAATAATTATCTCCGCTTTAAATTTTTTTATTGTTTAAAAACTATATTTGTCAATAATGTAATAAAAACTCACTAATCTAGTGCTTCATAGATCAATATGACAACGAATTCAAAATGTTTTAAAAACAGTTTTTAATCTTTATTTTGTAGTAGATGCAACTAATGTCACAGAGAAAAAAATATTTCAATAAAAAAGGTTTCTCCATGTTAATTCAATAGCAAAATTATTTCTATTCAGTGAGAAATCCACTTTTCAATGCTTATATAACAGAAAAATGTAACATAAGCATTTTAGAAGTTTTTAAATAGAAGCTAAAGGTTTACTGTACAATTTTATGTAAGAAACGTAATAATTTACTTTCATTACTTTTAAATCGGCATATTAGTTTCCAATCAACTAAAATTTTTGGCAAGTTAGAGACTTAACTTAACACACAGTATTCCGTCACTTAAAATATCAATTAATTGTTCTTTTTCATTTAGAGATACATTGGAATTGAAAACACCAAAGGCAAAATGGGTCACAGATCCAACGTAATTCCTTATTTGGAAATTTTTCAAAAAACTTTCTGTCAATTTTATCATGTGTGGTTTTAAACAAGAAATCTGTATTATTTTCTTTAGTAAATTGTAAAAAGCATGTTATTGTCTTAGTTTTAAAAGCTTACATTAGTACAAACTGCAACACAGTGTGTCTAGGTAACATTGTTTCAAAATGTCTGTTAATAATTTCAAATATTTTCTCTCCAGTTGCTTTTCCTTCCCAAATATTACAACATAAAATATATTCTACTGCATCGTTTTCAAAAACATATCTCACATAAACGATAAATTGAAACATTTTAGTAATGTCGGTAGTTTCAAGTTTTATAGTAAAGACTGGATTTTGTATTCTATAGTGTCTGATATGACAAAAATTTGGTGAGAAACGGTATCTTTTTTAATGCTATTGTTTTTAAATCGTTACTATATTTTTCTGCATGCATAAATGATGTCATTTTAATTGCTGAAGGAAGAATGAGCGATTCTCCAATTGTATGAGGTTTTAAATTTTTTGCAATTAAATATGAAACTTTTAAGGATGCCTGTAAATCCTTCTCAGGAACTGTTGTATATTTTTCAAAAACACATTTTAATTTTAAATGCTCTCAGCTCATTCTTTCAAAAATTCTTCAGATTTACTTACTTAATCTTTATGTTTAGTTTCTGAGGTACTTTTCAGTTTCACTGGCGCAAATCTCGCCAAGCAGACTTTGTTGACGACAACATACATATACACATAAAAAATGTTAACAACTGTTAGTTCTAAGAATTTTTTATTTTGAAGGCACAAACATTTTAATATCTTTTAAAATTTTGTAAAAAGCCAATAAATAAAGATAATAAATTTGTAAAAAGACATTAAGAATTTACTATGTTTTCATGGTTCAACATCCTGATTTCCCGGTTCGTATCACGTAACCACCACATGATCTCATCTCACGTAAACTACGCTACAAAAATCTAATAATTCTCTCAGTAATTATCTACATTAATTTCAAGTTAAATCTTAATTTGGAATACAAGTTTAAATGCAAGAATTATTTCAATTCGTACAAATAGCTTACTCAGAAATTATGTAAAACTGCAGTGCTTTACTTTGCTACTGCATTCTCATTAGAATTGATGAATTTAACCCTTGATTTTGCCTTTTCCTATATTTTTGCCTTCGGGTGAGTGGTGTGATTGCAGTCTAATTGTCTTAATTACCGCAAATGGTCTTGGGACATAAATTTTAATTATCTTGTAAAAATTCTATGTAGTTGTATGCCAGTATTGAAAAAAACAATAAATAAGAAATGGCTGCGACTTGTTTCGAAAATGAGGCGTAAAACGTTGGCAGCGAAGATATTCCGTTTGGCATCATTAGTACCATTTCTAAATGTATTTTTAATTTCGCAGGTTTCATGCTTTCCATGTGCCAAGTTTTCACTGCATTTAACACACAATGGATATTCTTTTTCCATTGATAATGCAACATGTAAAACAGTATAAAATAAACTCTTCTTGATATTTACTCAATTTTTTTTTATTTTATTTATTTTTTTTTTTTAGAAGTAGAAAGAGAGCCAATGGTTACATTTTTGTTTGCATTTTCATTAATAGTTTTTCTCTAAGTTTATTTGATGTTGGTGCATCCATCCCATTTCTCTTACAAGAGATTTTGGGCCATTTAACCATCATGAAAAAAATTGCAACGAAAACAAAATTGTTTTTATTATCCTTTAAGACTCTGCTAAATTTTCCAATGCTTAGGAAAATGTTATGCGCTTACTTGGCAGAAAATTTGATTAGAAATAAGAAACATAGTTTATAAATGAAGTGTATTACAATTACAAATTGCATGCAAGACATTACTAAGATAGACGAAAAAACTAAATCTTAGCTGCGCATATGCAGTTGCTTTGAAATTTGATTCGAGCTGTTTGGAAATCATCAAACATAACACATAAATCAAGTGAAAAGCAATAAAATCAGAATAAAAATATGGAAATGTTTAATTTAAAATTCCTGGCAAATGTTAAAAAACATCCAAAATTCTCTTCAAATTCCGTATCTCTTTTATTGTCAAACAAATTTCTTTGAATTTGGTGACCCCCCACAAATTTGTTCATAACTCCCAGGTTAAATTTTGTAAAAAGCAAGTTATCAATTGCATTTTGAAAAAAAAAAAAAAAAAAAAAAATGATTTTTTGAACAGAACAGCATACAATAGAGTATTTTCAAATTTACGGGAATACGACTTATGTGAAAATTGATAAACATTGGCTGTCTAATGTGAAAAGTGAATTACGGTTTAATATTTTATGTTCATAGCTTGTGTATTTTGATTATCTAACTAAATAAAAAATGATCCGTTCGTGCAAACTTCTGCTGGAATAACTGCTAGAAAATCTATCCCATTTCAGATGAACAGAAAGCAAATTTGTATTCTTATTCAACAATTACAATACTCTTGCATAATACTTACAAGGAATGAGTTAGGTTATTTAACTAAAGTGCTGTCAATTTTATTTCTTATTTACATGAAGCATGTATCACACAATGCTGTGTAGGCTGGTGACCTAGCGATGATGACTCAAAATGCATCTTTTTTGCATTCAGGCATACACTCTTATAAGAATAAACCATGCACTGGAGTCCTAGCTTCAGCAGATACATTTTGTTGTGCTATGCAATCTCTGTGGGTCCTAAATTCTAAAAACATTTCCACTCCTAAATTCCAAAAATTTGCTACTGGATATTTCTGTAAATTCCAAAATTTGCACACCTGCCATAACTGCACTGGGTGTGGCTTCAGTTATCCAATGTTTCCAACAAAATCAAATATTGTAACGTTATTTTAGAGACCAGACTTCTTTAAACTGTAGATCGCAACCCTCATCTACAGCAGGGGGTCGCAAAAAATTTCAGTAGTTTTGGTATTTCTTAAACTTAATAGAATAATTTTACAATTACCCAATATTTTTACACAATGTATCTGAAAATAGATAAAGATAAGACCATACAGACAAAGAGAAAAACAAAAATGTTTCAACGCATTCTGTTTATAATATAAACGTTCACTTTACTTGCTTTGCACGTGACGCTGTCATTTCGTCTGTTAATTAATTAAAATTTTCACATTGTTCTATGTCTTAAAATGAGAAATTAAAGATATGACCTAAAACTGCAATACTATCTTACAATACAAGTGAAAAAATTGACAGTTTCACTCGCACGTGTGTCAGATTTTCGCAATGCTTATGGGGTCCCACAAAATTTTCATAAATATTTTGGGGTCGTAAAAAAAAATCTATGATAAAAAAGGCTCA